TGACCTTGACTTTTTTTCCTTCTTCTGGACAATGGCCTTGTTATGTTTCAAGAGTTCAAGCCATTTATTTTATAGAATGTGCCACATTTTGACTTTGTCTGTTATTTCCTCATCCTCATGATTAGATTCAGATTATGTGTTTTTTACAGAAATCCCATAGAAATGAGGCAGCTTTCTCTTTACTGGAGAAGAGTTACAGACATGGGAAGAGGGAGGGAACTGGAAGGAACTGAGTAGGGCTGGATTGGAATGAAAGGTCTCGGGATAAACTGGTGACGGTCAATATAGAAATAGAGAAGGGTGTGTGTGTGCGTGTGTGTGTGTAAAATGCACCCTGCTGGGAGGTCCTGGGAACATTAATAGCACTAAGTGAGCACACTTTGGTCTGGGATCTTGGGTTTCTGCATGGCATCTCCCACTAAAGGAGTCAGGAGTCCTCAGAGACCTGGCCAATGCCAGGACTGGGCAGGGCAAGGAAAAGATGAGCCAGGAACATCTTGTGCCAGAAAATAAGGAAGTGCTTACAAAGGTACTCTGACTTGTCAAATCTAGGACAATCTGAGATTTACAATAAATGAGACTCTTGTGATGATAGCCCATTGAATAGCATAAGACTCTGGCGAGTCCTACTGATGTAACTGAATAAGTAGGAGAAATGCACGCTCTCTGTACAGTGGACACTGGCTGCTAGGTGGAGCGGGGATGTGGAGCCACTGCAGGGTGCCCAGCGCAGGGACAGAACGCCAGTGGATGCACTCCATGGGGCGGCAGCTTAAGGAACAGGATATCTGCATCATCTCAGAGCAGGTTTCCAGAAATTCCATATTCATTACTTAGAGGGAAACGTAGTTGTTTCACTGAGGGACGATGAGGCAGACAGCACTTTAACCAAGGACCAACGTCAGTGTCACTGCCGTCCTGCGCCTCCTGACAGGATACTCTGAACAGGACTGGCATCGCTTCTCTGTCTGGTTTCCTTGTTTCTGAAGTGAGGATGTCTTTGGACTAATTTCTGCACCAAATATCACTCAGTAATTCTCAAAAGCATTTCTTTATTCCTTATTTGCATATGATTGAGGTAATAGCACTCAAACAAGGTGACAGATATTTTGCGGAAGCCTCTCACCCTAAGCAGGCTGCCGTCCGCCTGAGAACATGTGGTCTTCGAAACCATCTCTGAGGAGGCTCAGAGGGGCACCCCATCTGGGGCTGTCGTTGCTGAGACCTGCTTTCTTGCTAGAAACGTGGGATTTTTTGTATTGGTGGAAGCCAGGCATGCTGTAAGTAGTCATAACTGCAAAAAGTAAGCCGAACACTGAGGAGCAGATCGATTAGATCATTTTTTTATTGTATTTGTTTTATATTCATAAGTCTAAACCTAACACAAAACAAAAATGAAAGGATTATATTAGCCTCCTGGGGCGGCTGTAACAAGGGACCACAAGTTGGGTGTCTTGAAACAACAGGAATTTACCCTCTCACATCCCTGGAGGTCAGAAGTCCAAAGTCAAGCGTCAGCAGGGCCACCCTTCCTCTGCAGGCTCCAGGGACAGACCCTCCTTGCCTCTTCCAGCTCCTGCTGCTGCTGCAGTCCTTGGCTGGTGCTGCATCGTGCCAGTCTCTGCCTGCGTGGCCACATGGCCTCCCTTTCTGTCCATCTCTGAGTCTTTGCGTGGCCTTCTGGTGAGGACATCAGTCATTGGAATTAGGGTTCACTCTATCTAATATGCCCTCACCTTAGCTAATCATGTCTACATGACCCTGTTCCAAATAAGGTCACATTCTGAGTTTTGGGTGGACATGAAATTATGGGACGATATTCAACCCAGTACAAAATGAATAAAAGGAAACAAATATCATCCAAAACATCTGCTTTATAAACGATAAAGAAAATGTAGATAGAATTACAAAATAGAAAGGACTTCGGGAGGGCTATTTGGCTTCTGGGGGTTGAGTCCATCCATGCTGCAGAGTGAAGCGTCTGCCTACCCAGAGGCCAGGCATGTCGGGTGACCACCAGCAAGGCAGCGCCCGAGTGTGGCTGCCACGGTATAGCAGTGGCCATGGGAGCTGAAGTCAGACCTTTCAAAGAGGAAAGTCCAGCCTCTAGCACTTCCTCCCCTATCCCCAAGCCCCAGGTCCTAAGTACAGAAGATGAAGAAAATGAAGGAGGAAAGACGAATTTGCAAATAGAAGCAGAGTTGGTCTGACACCAGCTAAATAAATCTAGGGTTTTCCTCTTCAGTCTTTAGGAACATTCCAGTTTCCTGTGTAAATGGACCCTTTACCCAATTCTACAGGACGGCTTCTCAGGCCGGTTACACTGTGGCAGTGACTCTTCCCAAAGGGGCTCACTCATTAAGGCGTCTCCCTCCACACAAGGCTGAACTGAAGGTTCCAGAGGCATGTGCTGCCCCCTGTGTGCTCCTCAGTGTTCTCAGGGCATCTCTGGGTGTGTGCTGTGAGCACCAGCCGGGAGTCATCCCGCAGAGGAAAGCAGGGGCCCAGAGCACATCCCCAGGCCTGATCACCCAAGCAGCCCTGACCACCGGGAGTGCGGTGGGTGTCGGGCCCCAGCACTCTTCAGACCTCAGCCTGACAAAGGAGACAGCCTTCCTTCTGGGCTGTCTGGGTGGTGAGTGGAGATGTGAGCCCACAGCCCATAGGGCAGAACTGCTGTTCTCAAAATCCTTCCTAGCTGGGTGATAGCACCTATAGAACTGGCGCTGTGGATGGAGAATCCTCAAGGGCGCAGGAGAGATGCTCCATGGACTTGTCTGAGACTGACTGGGGAGGTGCTGGAGGGAACTTGGCCTGAGAACTTTGTTCACACGTTTTGAGGACATGGAGAAGGAAACCCTGTACTCCAATGAGGGCTGATCAGGGTCACCATCAGCCTTACTTGCCCTAGTCAGCTGAAGCAGGTGGGGTGGAAGTGACCAGTTTGTCAGGCTGTGGGCTGGACAAGTGAGCATTGAGGGCCAGTAAGCCCAGAGCCTGGAATCTTCCTGCACCGGCAGTTGGAGCACGAGAAGCAGCGGTGGCCTAACAGAGAGCTTCATCGAAGCGCTGAGGCTTTCTTTCCTGGTCAGAAAGGATGGTTTCAGAAACACGAGGACAGAAGCCTGGGCTTCTGGAGCAAATCCACTGGACCCACGTAGCCTTTGTTCTTTGGGCTTTGGGATAAACGACATGCTCGTCTTTTAGAGTTTCACTTTTCCCCATTTGGCCCTTGCCATGGGCTTGGAGAGGAAGAATTGAAGAAAGGCCATTGGAAGATGGTTCCCTGATGAAAAGAGAGCGCTGGGGAATTTCTGTCTTCAGTCAGCAGGTATTCTGCAAGTTGGTTTGGTTTGGTTCGGTGCCTTCCCCTACGGCACAGGCATTCCAAAGGTGGTGGTTTTGAGTCCCACAGAGCCACCAACCTTTCTTTCCCACCTGAAATATGGTGTTTTTTTTTTAAGAAAAATCTGGAAGTATCTATTTGAACTCTACTTTAGCTGGTAACCAGAGAAGAAGGCAGCTCTGGGATCTAGGATTTTAGTTACTCGTGGAAAGCTTCCCTCAGAGTAAATCACAACCTTAAAAATGTAGATGCGCAGCTGGGAGAAGCGACCCCTTATCCCAGGGCCTCCCGGAAACGCTGCCTGTCTTTGTCCTGTGTAGGACGCCGCCTTAGGTAATTATTGATTCAGGTTGTTGGTGGCACCATTTGAAGTCATTGGTCTTCCCAGGCCACAAACAGGACAGGTTCTCCAGGGGAGGGAGGTGTGCCTAGGACACAGAAGAGCTGCCACTCGCCTTCCGCTCCTGTCAAATACTTCTTTCTCCCAACACATTTTGTTGCCTCAAAAAGTATTTTTCTATGCGGTGGTTGAGACTCTTAGACTGAAGTTGCCCTTTGTCTTCTCTCTAAGGCACCTTCTTTTCTTCTTTCTTCCTCACACTCATGCTTACTCTTTTGGCTGCTTTTCTCCCAGCCAAACTGAGTGAGGGGCTTTGTGCCAGTGTTTCTGTCATTGGCCTATTGAGAGCCTGCCAGCGTCCCTGACTTTTTCTCTTTGAGGGCTGTGAAATATTTATATGTCTGCCTTGCTTGTGTGCTTCTGAAAAGTTGCGTAGAAACCAAAGAGCCAAAAATAAATATGATCTTAATTGCCCAGGATAGCAGGCTACGCAAGAAACTTGTGGTTAGTTTTGTTGTAAACTAAACATTTCATCGTCCTTGTTATTGCTTTGTAAACTCAAGTGTGCATCTTGAGTCCCAGGTTTCCCTTTGGTTATGGTTTTTTTAAATAAATGAATGTTTTTGATGTTGTGACGTAATAAGAAACATGCGTTTGGTCTCTGGCCCCGGCTCGTAGCACACAGCTCCTGAGTGCTGAGTATCTTTTTGTTTGCTAATGAGGTGACTATGGCTGGGGCTCCAGGACAGCCTCTTGGGGGACGGGTTGCCAGGGCAACCGATCACGTGATTAGAGGTTAGAACTCCACCCGTGGACCTCTGAGGAGGGGAGGGATCCCGCAGAGGTGGAGTGGATCACCGGTGGCCGGTGATCTGCTGGATCATGCCTGTGTAATGAGACCTCTACAGACTTCCTCAAGGACAGGGTTTGGGGGGCTTGCAGGCTGCCGAGCACGGGGAGGTTCCCAGAGGGTGGAGTCCTGGGGAGGGCACAGCAGCTCCAAGCTGCCTGCCCCATCCCTCGCCCTGTGCATCTCTTCATCTGTGTGTATTCTTTGTGACATCCTTTATAAAAACCAATAAATGTGTCTCCCTGAGTCCTGTGAGCTGCTCTGGCAAATTAATCAAACCTGAGGAGGGGTTCTTGGGAACCATGCTGAGAGCCAGTTGGTCGGAGGAGCGGGCCACAATCTGGGGCTTGCCGTTGGCATGTGAGCCGGGCAGCCTCAGCCGGAGCCCCGCCCTATGGGGCTGATGCTGACTCCTGAAGGACAGCGTCAGAATTGAATTCACTTAGAGGACACCTAGTGTCAGCTGGAGAATTGCTTGGTATATGGGGCAAACCCCTACACATATGGTGTGAGAAGTGTGGTGTGTGGCGTGGTGTGCATGAGGGTAGGAAAAGCAGTCTGGTTTTTCCTGTCTCTTACGGTGTTTAGTTTCCATGTGGACAAAGCAAAAGTGGCAATATTTTTGAATGTTCCAATATTATAGTGACATAAGTAATATTGATAGTTGCTGTGGAACTGAATGAATAATACACAGCATAAGAACATTTCAGAACACAGTGACATGTATTCCTAACATAACTTCTGTTATTTCATGTCATCCTCTCCCACTGTTTTGTGTTTCAGGTACAGAGCCTTCATTTTTATTTTGACATTTCTGCTGTATGCAAGTTTTCACTTATCTCGAAAGCCTATCAGCATAGTTAAGGTAAGAATCATGAAAGCACTGCCTGTCGCCTCTGTAAGGAGTTGGTCACTTGAAGGGCGTGTGGGGCAGAGGGTGGGGATGGCAGCAGATATGCAGGAAAACAGATGATTTAGAAACAAGTTCTTCTGCTGCTTTGGCTTTGCAGTTTCCCTTTCCTAAAATTGACATTTTTTAAATGCTTTTTGGATTTATACTTTCAGAGGTTGTAGACTTTTAGTTATGTTTGTTGACAGTTCCAGAATCTGAAAGCTTAGCTAAATATTTGTTTTATCTTGTGTGACTGTTCCTTCCAAATGTATCCAACCTTAAGTGGTTCCCCAAATTCCAGCTCTTCGTGCTATCTGACCCCAGGTCTGGCCGCGGAGGTGGCTCTCCGTTATTCTTGGAAAGCTGTGTTTTTGTTTTGATCCGACCCCGGGTCTGGCTGCGGAGGTGGCTCTCCGTTGTTCTTGGAACGCTGCATTTTTGTCTGAGTGATGGTGCGCAGGAAGTTGTTAAACAGGTGTTCCACTAGACTTTGAGAAAAGAAGATTAAAGCAGACAAGACTACATAAGCACCAGTTATAACCTGGAGAAAAGCAGGAAGAATTTCTTACCCTCGTTGGGATTACGTCACCCTGCCTGTAGACCATCAGGGCCTGAGAGGCATTTGAGTCTCTATCGTAGAAGGAATGAGGAAATCATCCACTGAAGGGGTGGCCTGCCCTCCACACCTGTGGGTGTTTCTTGGATTTTCTCCCAGGCATCCACTGCCAGAGACAGCGCATTCGCAGCCCGACGGCCCCTCGCTCACTCTCCAGGAGTTGGCAGGGACCTAGATCCAGGACTGCAATTCTGTAACCTTTGGAGCTGTGCTTCCTCCACTCCTGCCAGTGGCTGAGCCCTGGGTGGCCGCCTCCGCAGCCCCGGTCGGCAGAGGCAACGCAGAGGCTGGTTCTTTTGTGACAGTCCTAGGTTTCCCACTCTCCAGCAGCTTTCAGGGGATGTTAAACATTCATTTACCCAAAAGATTCTAAAATTCCCCCTTGGCCCCTGGTAAGCAAGAAACTTCCATGCCTTTCAAGTTGTTGACTGTGGAAAACGTTGCAGACCTTAAAAAATGTGGGTTTTAAGAGAAGAATATGAAAAGAGGCAGTGGGCCTTAAGAAACACTCATCTGCTTGACAAGAGACTCTCAAATCAGTACCGATAACCAGTCACTATAAAACAGTACCGATAACCAGTCATTATAAATCAGTGCCAATAACCAGTCATTATAAATCTGAATATTGCTGCTACTTGTCTTTCTGGTAGAGAAATACACAAACAGCTCAAGAAAATGGTAAATTATAAAGATGGAAGTACCTATTGAAGAGACTTGGTGAGCGCATTGGAGTTGAAGGATCTGGTGTAGTCGGGGAGCCTGCGTGGGGTTTCAGGATTGGCCTGGAAAGGTTGGGTGTGGATTGTAGGGGAAGAAAAACAGCTTTGCAGGTGGGAGAACTGCCTTGAGTACTATGTGCAGGGGTGGGCGTCCCCATGAAGCCACCACCTGACGGGCTGGGGCGGGGGCAGATGTAGCGCGTAAGATGGGCTGGCCCTTGGGGGGATCTTTGTCAGCGGTCAAAGCTGTTGGGGTCCACCTGATGACCACGAGGGCCCCTGTGAGCCAGGAGCAAGTGGGAGCCCTGTCCCGGTCCCTCTCACAGCTTCCCTGGTGGTCCCTCTTAAAGCCCCTGCCCCAACTCTTGTGTGTGGTGCTGTCCAAGCCACTCAGGGCTTAGGGCTTCTGAGGAGGCAGCGTCAGGGTCAGCTCTTAGTTCAGTGTCATAAGTACCAGTATAAATAACTGCCGCTTACAGAGCCCCGGGGTATGACGAAGTGCCACACACATTACCCCGTGACCTTCACAGCAACCCTGTGAGTGCCCCTGTGAGGAAACTGAGGCTCAGGGCCTCGTTCCCCCAGGCAGGGCTGCTATGCACTGGAGAATTCCCTGTGGGTCAGGCTGCCTCCAGGGCCCCCGCTCTTCTTCTCTCTGCCTCAGGGTCTGTCCGGGTGTAATTACCTGAGTACACTCCCAGCATCACACTCGAGCCTCCTAAACACACAGATTTCCCGAACTAGCAGCTGTGATGTGCCTGGGCATGGATTGGCTTGACACTGAATCCCATGCATTTCTTCACCTTTGAAGACAGATCAGAACATCACACCACATCAAAACTAAACTTTGCAGTGCCTTATGAAGCACCCATGTGCTTGAGCCCATGATATGAAAGGCGTCAATGAAACTGAAAGTAACAGTGATTCTGTTGACCCACAAAACAGTTGAGTGATTATTTACAGCCGCATTTCCTAGAACATTGCAAACAAAACAAAAGCAAAATACATTTGCTTACCTGAAATCGAACCAGGAGCTGTGAATTAGAAAGTGATTCTCATTCTATTACGTCATTTATAGAATGACATGGCACAGCAGGTCACATTTAAGTTAGTCTGGAATGTTTAGATTACCTTTGATCACTGCTGATGAATTGTATTTTTCTCGATGATGATGATAAAACCAGGGCTGGGAGGATAGTGGTGTTATAAGTGCAATCCTGTCCATTCTACCTGCTGCTCCAGCTGTGGCCCAGCCTCAGGACTCAAGGCAAGCATCTGCCCAAGCTGGTAGACAGGTGGTTCTACACTCTCCCAGCAGAGATCTTAGTGGGAGCTCTTTTCTCCTGGGCTGGGCCAGGGCAGAAACCTGAAAGCAGAGGCTTCGCAGAGAAGCCTAAACTGCAGGGGTCCCTGGAGCCAGGGGATGGCAGCATTGATTTGAATGTGAGGGTGCACCCCTCTCTGGACACACAGGACTTAAAAGGGAAAACTGGCCGGGCGCGGTGGCTCACGCCTGTAATCTCAGCACTTTGGGAGGCCAAGGTGGGTGGATCACCTGAGGTCAGGAGTTCGAGACCAGCTTGGCCAACATAGTGAAACCCTATCTCTACTAAAAATACAAAAACAAATTAGCCGGGCATGGTGATGGGCGCCTGTAATCCCAGCTACTGGGGAGGCTGAGGCAGGAGAATTGCTTGAACCCGGGAGGTGAAGGTTGCAGTGAGCTGAGACCACACCACTGCACTCCAGCCTGGGCAACATGAGTGAGACTCCATCTCAAAAAAATAAAATAAAAACAGAGGGATTAAAGATATGAATGTAAAACACAAAAAGTAAAAATCCAAGAAGAAAATTATGTTTATCGTAGGAGTAAGTGTGAAGTTAGGAAACCCAAAGAAACAACGGGCAAGGGGGATGAACAGGCAGTTCACAGACGTGGAATTCAGATTGCCAGGAAATGTGTGAATGGTGTTCAAGTCTGCTGGTATTCCAAATGCAGATTAAGGCAACAGTGTGCTCAATGGCTGGCACAGCATTGCCCAGAGCAGTAAGCCCTGTTCACTGGCCGTGAGGGGAGAGGACTTTTCATGCTTTCTTGATGGGATGTCGAGTGTTAGCACCTTTTGGTGACACCCAGTGAAATAAAAAATACTACAGCCTTCAGACATGCTTCTGGGAATTTCACCCTAAAAATAAAAGCACCTTACTTGGGAATGTCTTCATAAGCGTCTTTATGGCAGCTTTGTTTGTAGTGACCAAAAAAAGGAAAAAACCAATGCTGGGTATCGAGGGAACCCAATAAGCGGGTAAAAGTTTGAATAAATGGTGACAAGTCCATATTATGAAAAGAATTTATCAGAGGCAAACCAGTTGACTCAGAAACATTTCCAGGAGGCATTTTGAGTAAGAAGTTAACATGTGCATAAGGATGTATAGAATGATTCCATTTTTGAGAAGTAAACAATGACCAAGAAGCTCCTCCATCTATTTCTGTATCCTTCATGCGTGGAGCGTTTGCGTGCCTGTGCCCGAGTGTGTATAATGCATTTCACGTGGCAACTGTGACTCATCGCGGGAGGCTGGCTGTGGGCAGGTGCTGTCGTCCGTGGGGGAGAGCCTGTCTGGTCGCTCCTACTTTTGGTACCAAAACTTTAATTGCTCTTCCAGGACTTAGATAATGCTTTGGAGAATTCTTGTAGCCTTATAAAAGGAATGTGAAGGACTAGTTAGAATCAGTGCACCCACACAGCCTAACGAGCCACGTAAAGTTGACTAGACAGATCATCAAATGCAGATATGTATACACACACGCACACACATACACCCTCTGTGTTGGCTAAAGGTGGAGTGAAACTGGCCTAACCCCACTGTCCTCCAGGGGGATTCAGTGAGGCCCGAATCCCCTGCTCTTGTCCTGTCCTCTCACTGTTGCCTTTCAGTGTCTCCTGCACCCCAGACCACCGGGTAATCTCCTCTATTGGAGGCCACGTACCTCCTGCAGAGAATGTGCCCTGTGGCTGTAGCCTTAGGCAATGGTGGGGCTGAGAACCCAGGGCAGGAACGAGTGGTTTCTCTTTGCGAAGTGGCTCAAATTCAGCGTGGAAAGAATGGAGCCTTGGTGGAATGCAGGCTAATGCAGTGAATGTTTGTGCCTAAATGGCCGCGTGGGTCTCTGCAGGTGCAGGATGAAGAGTCCAGTCTTTTCTAGTGTCATGAAATTCCCACTGCAGCTGCCTGCTGCTCCCTGGACGGGATTTCCTCTCGCTGCCAGTGGGAGGGGTGGGGAGGGCTGGAGGTGGCCAGGGAGTCTGTAGACAGAAGACGTTGCCAGCTCCCGGCCCTGCCGCATTCCCCGCACACTCGTGGCGCTGTGACTCCCGGCCCTGCCGCCTTCCCCGCACACTTGTAGCACTGTGACTCCTGGCCCTGCCGCCTTCCCCACACACTTGTAGCACTGGCTCCCGGCCCTGCCGCCTTCCCCGCACACTCGTGGCGCTGTGACTCCTGGCAGTTTCCTGTGTTCTTCCACAAGATTGGCACCTTTCTTCTCCCACCCCCACCCTCCACCCATCTGCTGTTTATTTTTGTTGCTGTTCTGTGTGTTGCGTGGACACTTTAGCAGCCACAACGCCCACGTGTTCACAGGGCCCACTCAGCCTCCCCGCCTCACATATCGTCAGTGTGGAGTTCAGTTGCCACAGAGCCTTTTGCCTGATCAGTTTTTAATATCTACCTGATGTCGCGGGTTGATTGAGTTTGTAACTTGTTGAAAGGCACTTGTGTAAAAACGTGTGAAGAAAGCTGCCTTTATGAAAGCAGATGTTTCCCAAAGGACTTGACCCCCTCCCCAAGTATTTCTGCAGGGATGGTGTGGCTGTGCAGAGGTGAGGGTGCCTCCATGAAGCACTTTGGTGAGAATTTGTTCACCTGGCGAGGGGTTTGCTTAACAATTCATCTTAACCTAATTAAGTTTGCATTGTCCCTCAAACACCAGGTTTGGGGGGTAAAACTCATAGAAATACTGAAATATAGCAACGTTGTTGAAAACCTGTGGTTATGTAAATATCCTCAGAACCCTTTTTGCGGGAGTTATGTGAAATCTCGATTGCTTTGGCAGCAGCCTTCCAACGGGGCTGCAGGGTGCAGGTGGAGGTGACCTTTCCAACAACAAGGAGAAGGGCCGGAGAGGCACCCGGACTCACAGCAGCCCTTTCCTGAGCCCTTCCCAGGGGTGGAGGCCCAGAGAGGTGCGCTCTATTTATAGTTCATCTTTACAGCAACCCTGGGACACAGGCATTGTCATGCCAACTCCATAACTGATGACCAGGGAGTGTAAGTGACGTCACCAAGGTCAGAAGCCACAGAGAGGCACCAAGATCCCAGCTCAGGCCTGTCTGCCGCCGAAGCCTGTATCCCTAACCAGGATGTGAGGCCCCCACTCATTACATAACAAAACTAGAACAACTTTACTGCTTATTTATGGGAAACAAGGAGCATTTCTAATCAGATATGTTTTCGGCAGGTGGTTCCTCCCAGAAATATGAAATCACAAAGGATATAAAATTCTGTTTTAAGCGGCGGCCTGCAGAATCTCTTTTTCCTTTCTTCTGTGCCAGGTTAATGTTAGAAACTTCAGCTTATCCCTGCACATGGTTCTCCTTGGCTGGGGAGTGTCCTGTGCTCCTGTCCTAGCTGTGGCTTTCTTCAGTGAGAGGTGAATTGTGGCGATGCTTCGGCCTTTGGGTGTGGCCAGATTGGCTTCCGTGAGAGGCAGCAGGGAAAGGTGGGCAGAAACACCTGACTTCTGAAGGCACTGAGGAGGAAAAGTGTCCAACAAGGCGGCAGGTGAATGGAGAAAGGCCGCGGATACCAGCTTGATACAGAGAGGAAGGGCTGCAGGCACCCGCCCCGGGTCTCACGATCACACTCACAGCCCCTCACATCCACCTTGGGTGGAGAATTTAAAACACAAGCAGGAGCGGCCAGGGGGCCCCAAGCAGTCGGGGAGCAAATGAAAGCACTCCTCCCGACATGCCAGGAGGTCAGCATGGCGCCTCCAGGGAGGACCAGCTCTGCCAAGGGAGCTGCTGGGCAGATGATGACTTTGCATTGTAAAGTAGAGCCCTTGGCTACTTTTTTGGGGCAGTGTTTAATTATAGCAGAACAGCCCAGTGATGACGACAGAGTCACATGACGGTGGAGCAGCTGCATCCCGTGTGCCATGCCAGGACTCAGTGACGTGGCCCACATGCTGCCAGCTATAAATCAGGGTGTGTAGCCTCGATTCAAAAGCCCTGGCCTTTTGAAGGTGGCTAGCCTTGTTGGCCACTCCCTCCTGAAGAGAGGGGGACAGGACTTCCGACTGCTGCCTGCCTGGTCACTGGGGTGGCTCCCTGCCCAGCGTTCTGTGCCCTGACCTGGAGCCAGCTTTGTGCACTGCCCTCCAGACCCCTGGCCTCTCTCAGGTTCCAGCTCACGAGGACACCCCTCTGGTATCATGGGCACTGAACGGGCACTCAGTCCCCCTAAGGGACACCCCTCTGACCACAAGGACCCCACTTTCTGCCATCACTCACGCCTGATGGGCCAGCTCCTATGAGTCTTGACTAGTGCAGAGTGATCACTACAGAGACCCCCGAGAAGAGAGGCATGGGAGTGACAGAGGCCACCAGGGAGGGACACGCAGTCACAGAGCACATTCTGTCTTCCTCAGCTTCCCCCACAACGAGACGGGCCCCTGCCACATGTGGCGCTGTCTTGTAGGTGTTGTTCCTCTTCCCAAGGAGTACACTGAGGAAAAGCCCACTCAGGCCCCTCTGCCTCCCGACAGATGAGCTTTCCTCTCTCCCCAGGGTTTGTTTCACAAGGGCCATGCCATCCTAAGCTCTGTGCAAAAGCCTGGAGTTCAGCGTCACAGGTCCCAATGACTTCTGTAACTGGGCAGCAGCCTCGTCTGCAGAGGGGGAGACCGAGGCAGGGGCGGCAAGTAACATGTTCACACAGCCAGTAACCAAACCCCAGGGCCACGGCTTTCCCTTCCTCCCGCCTCCCAGACAAGTGCCTCCAACCCTGGCCCTGCTTGCTGGTTCTGTGGCTAGTTTGGGGGGTGGGTGGTGCCCTGCCCCAGGGATATTTTTAAATTGAAGTATGATTTACACTTAGTAAAGTATACAGATCTTCAGTGTCCAGCTTGGCAGATCTGTCCATGCCCATGGGGTAGCCATCACCTAGGTTAAGGGATGGACCCTTTCTAGCTCCCAGACAGCTCCCCGTCCCCTGTCCCGCATTGTCCCCCTTTAGGTAACCGTGACTGTCACCTCTAGCCGCGTGGATTCATTGTCCGTCCTTGGACTTCCTATGAGTGGAATGCTGCAGTCCGTACTCTTTCGTGTCTGGCTTCTGCTTCATGTTATGTTTGTGAGGTTCATCCTCATTGTTGCTTGGACCTGTGACTTGTTCTTTTTCGTTGGTGTGTAGCATTCAGTTGTGTGAATCTAGGAAAATATACCCCTTCTGCCTTGTGGACAGGTGGTCAAGGATGACAGGCAGTCGGCTTTCAGCTTGGAGCTCTTAGGACTAAAACTGCTCCTGAGGCTTGTCTTCCAGTGGCATGTGAAGATGGCTTATGTTCGCTGTGCGCTCAGGAGTGCGGTTGCTGGAGAGTCCTGCTGAAACGTCACCAGCAGGCATTCTTGTGGGTCCTGCAGACACACTGCCAGCGGCGCCTTGTGTTTCCATTAGAATGCAGGGTGCAGGTGTCCTGGGCAGGCTGCTGGGAGAGGAGGGGTGACTGTTCCTCTCTGTGCCCCATGCTGAGCCTCACTGAAGGCACTTCCTCTCCTTGCTTCTGCCCTCCCATCACATCCCAGGGTGAGCTCCACAAGTATTGCACTGCTTGGGATGAAGCTGACGGCAGATTCAGCAGCCAGAGCGCCAAGTCTGGGTCCATTGCCCCCCGCCAGCTCCCTGACAATGAGACCGACTGTGGCTGGGCACCATTTGGTAAGTTGATCATCGGTCCGTCCAGGAGCTGAAGCGGCTGTCCTTCCAAGGTTCTTCCAGCCTCGCTGTTAATAATTTTAGCAACAGTAATGCCGTTCCCAGATGAAACTGCATTTCCATGACAGCCCTCTCTCCTACCCAAGAGCACGTGACTTCACCGCCACTGCGTCCGTAGCACCTGTGTGTGGAGCTGTTCCTCCTGAAAGAAGGTTCTCTTAATAGGGAGATGTGCTGCAGATCATTTGCATTTTGTATTTCAGACTTGCAGGGCATAGTTCCGTGGGCGGTCAGAAGAGAGAGACACGAGGGGCTGGTGTGGGTGCTGGCCTAGGCAGGCGTGCTGCAGAAAAGCCAGTGGACACGTAAAACAAAAGGCATCAATCAAATGTGCAGCCACCATGCACAATGGGGATTTTATCCCATCTGAATGATGCCTGCGTTATATTTAGTGATTATTTGAAACTGCGGTGACTTCATTTTCCTTTGCGAGAAACTGAACGGAAAATGCACCGCCTTGTTTTCTGTGTGGAAAACCACGCGTTTCACTAAGTACAACCAGATTTAGAGAACAGATGCTTTGTGTTTTATAGCCGTGCTCTAGAACATACACTAAACAATACTGAGCTTTTCCTGTTAATTTTCAAATTCGTGTAGATAAGAACAACTATCAGCAGCTGCTTGGGGCCCTGGACTACTCCTTCCTGTGCGCCTATGCCGTGGGGATGTACCTCAGGTACGTACAAATGAGACATAGTACAGGGGTGACCTTGCTTTACAGCAGCCTGCTCTCCCCTCTCACGATAGCTCATAGCTCTTTGGTTTTCCAGACCCTTCCTGGTTATCTGGCCCCTCCGTGCAGAGAAGGCGTCTGCTATGCTGAAGTGCACAGGTGCACAGGAGTGAGGCCCCCGCTTGCCGGTGGCTTCCCTGCTGTTCCCTTCCCAAAGATGAGGCCAAGCTTAGGAGAGAGCAAGCACATGTGCTGTGCCCACAACACGGGACCTCAAGGCCGAGGATTTCCGTGTCCCAGGCACTGTGCCAACTGACACAGGCTGCCCTCAGCTTTCCTGGCCCTGGGGTTTGGGACCTACCATGAATCCTGCCGATCCTGGGATGTGGTCATTCAGGAACAAGGGGACTAGCTTCCTGTTTAGCAGAGCCCGACCTCTCCTGTGGTTCAGGGGCTGCCATCTGTTTACATGCCCCAAATAACGAATTTCACCTGATGATCGGAGCAGTTGACACAGGATGTGCGGAACAGCTCTACCTGGATGCCCAGCTTGGCCCCAGAACTGAGCGCAGCAGAGGCAGCCCTGCGTGGCGGGCGGGGAGCTCCAGAGAGAGACCCGCTGGGATCTGAATCCCGGCTCTACCACCTGCTAGGATGTGGTCTTGGGCAAGTTACTATACCTCTTTGGGCCTCAGTTTCCCCTTTGCAACATGGGAGAAATAATAGTTCTTATGTCACAGGATTGTGGCAAAAATTGAGTTAATGTATGTAGAAGCTCAGAATGGTGCCTGGCCTGTGCTGCCAGCCCAGCCCATTCTTCATCCCACTTTGAACTGACCAAGGCAGGTGGCAAATGTTATATGGGGCATAGAACATGTGACTGACTGATTGAAAACTGCTGTTGTGGCAGTCCAGCCAGGTTTTTTTTTTTTTTAAGGCAGTATAGGGATGTTCTAGCCCATTTTCTGTTGCTAGTAGCACAATATCTGAGATTGAGTAATTTATAATGAGAAAAGGTGTATTTAGCGCTTCTCTAACTAGGAAGTTCAGGATTGGGCAGCTGCATCTGGCAAGAGCCTCGAGCCACACTGTAATGTAGTGGAGGGCATCGCCTGGCAGAGGCCCGTGAGATGGGTTAGCAGTGAGCAGGGCGTACAAAACACACAGCACAGGGGTGACCTTGCTTCATAGCAGCCCGCTCTCACCTCTCACAATAGCTCATCAGTCCTGAGAGTGCGGCCACTTACTCCTGCACATTCATTCCTTCGTCAAGGCGGATCCCTCATGACCCAAATGCCCTTCAAAGCTCCCTGCACCTCTCAACGCAGTTATACTGGGAGCCAAGCCTCAACACAAGTTTTGATGGAGACCAACCATAGCGAAACCACAGCCAGGGATGGAGGCATGTAGTCCCAAGAGGCTTTTGTTCAGAGACAGAGGTCTTTACAGCCTGGAGAACCCCAGGGATCCCCATAAATGTTTAGCTGCTTCCCTGAGACCCGCTCAGAGTGTGGGATCGTCAAGACCTGGCCCCTCCCCGCTCAGAGCCCTGGTGGGTGGGTGGTGCCCAGGGAGGCAGTGTCTGCTGTCGGAGGAGAGCGCATAGCTCTCCCTTTATTGAACGTGTGCATTTGCCTCCCGCTGCAGAACTTGTCTGAGTGAGCAAATGAATAATAAAGGTTTGGAAGCTCAGAGTGTGTGATGCGCAGCCGAACATGAGCCTAGCTAGAGAGAGTGGTGTGTACCTTGGGCTTCCTTCGGGCCTGGGTCTCAGCCAGGCTGCCAGACCTTCTCCATTTTGAGGTCAAATGTTTATATTCCCCAGACTGCAGTCTTACTGAACACAAATAATCTGTGGTATAAAAAGACCCAAAGTGGGAGTGTGTTTTTCTCAGTTACTAGAAAACTGTATTTAAATCTGGTTCTCAACTGGGGGCAGTTTTGTCTCCTAGGGGACATTTAGTAATGTCTAACGACGTTTGTGGGTGTCACAGCCAGGGAAGGGATGTTGCTGGCATCTAGTGGCTAGAAACTAGGGTGTTGCTAAACATCCTACAACACGCAGGACAGCCCCTAATGCCACAGAATTACCGGAGCCAAAATATCAATAGTGCTGAGGTTCAGAAAGCCTGCTTTACGTAAATAAACTGGTTTCTTGTTGCTTATTTATCGGTAAAGATAATTCTTATGCACCTTGTCAGTAAGGTTATTAAAACAAAATTTGGTCTAATGTGACATCTACACAGTGAACTCATGACTGAAACAAGGGCACACGCTGCTGCATTGAAGGGCCTTTTTGTGTGAGTCCCTACCTGAGATCTCAGCAATGGGTGGTTGCTCGCTGCGCCAGATGAAATCAGATATGAAAGGGTACAGTCATTCAGCCCAGGTACTGCCTGGAGGGTTCAAGCAGGTGCAGCATGGACTTGAATCCCTGTATGAGTCCCATATAATGTGAAATGGTGTTTGTTCAGTTAGACCTTTTCTTTAAAAGTTTTCAGTAGAGATCAAAGTGGGCCCAAATCATACAGCAAGATTAGAGAACACTTCTGAGCCTAGCCAGCAGCACCAGCTCTCAGGAGCCCATCTGGTTCTGCCAGCTGTGCTGTGACCTGGGCAGGTCAGCCAGCCTCTCAGGGACCTAGCTCCTGGTCTCTGGGGTGGGCAGGTTGAAGTCGGTAACTCTCTAGCTCTGGAATGCTCTTGAGTCTGTGTGTGGCGAGGTTTTAGCTGAAATTTTTACCTGGATGTTGTCATAATTTTAAGTTACTTTCTTGTGCTTTAGTGTTTAAAAGGTCATTTCCTTGATCTGAGGTAGATCTTTTTTACTTGGTGAATTCGGAAGGAAAAGCTCTCTGGTGTGGGTTCTTGAGATGAAAGCTGAGAACACTGGAGCTGACTCCGGCAGTGGGGTTCACGGCAGGCAGGTGTCACTGTGTGTTAGGTTTCCTGTTTATCTGACTCCTAGAGTGACCCTACAGAAGAAAGCGAGACCCACAGAGTCTCTGATGCTTGCGAAGGGCTCAGTCCATCCATGACACTCTACAGCTTTTCTATTTACTTAATAAGTCACAATGTTGAGTTGGTCCATAGTGACATTTCCCATAAAACAGTGAGGGATGTTTTGGATAACATTAGGTAGTGTGCTGTGATGGCAGCTAAAGACTGTTAAGTCTGTGCCCTGCTGTGAAGCTGGAGACGTGCTTTACCACCCCCATCGAGGCTGTTTTAGCGAGGCTAAGCATCCTTTATGCCACCAAGTCTCCAGGCAGCTCTAGAAGATAAGACACCAAAAAGGGTAGCTGATTAGTGAGTTGCATTGCTGTTCAGAAGGATGAGAGAGATGCCACCCCAGCATTTCAGACCTTACCATGGAACAAATCTTCTGCCTTTAAATCAGGTCAAAGTGGTGTGGCAGGAGGTGGTAGTGGCAAACAGCTGCAAGCCACTTCCCACTGAGCCCAGCCAGCCAGGTGTATTAACACAGGTGACTTCATTACAGCTCGTGGGGCCGAGTGACTTGCTCTGGGTCATAAGTGATCTCTTTTCATGACATTTGGTGTAGTTCAACAGTTGGAATTTTAAGACATTGTATACATTTACTGGATATGGTTTATGTGAAAGCAGGATTAACTAGCAAGACAAGTTCCTATTTCCTTTCATTGGCAACTATCATAAATAAGTCAGAGCGTTTGAATTTTATTATTTGACAGATAGTGACATTGACTAGAAATAAAATCTTCTAGAATGTTGCCAGTCTCTGGTTTCTGGTGAGTAAACACTCCATAGGGAAATAGGTGTAAGAAATCTTCCTGGAAATTGTAAGGCTTGAGAGTTCCCCAAGCTCAGAGAACAGCACGAAAGCATCCGGCACGAAACAGCCGCCGGGTTGTTAACATTCGGGTGTGTTTGTTATTCCTATTTGTCTTTCCTTCTCTCCGCCTCAGTGGCATAATTGGGGAACGCCTGCCGATTAGGTATTACCTAACTTTTGGGATGCTCGCCAGTGGAGCCTTCACCGCCCTGTTCGGCTTAGGGTATTTCTACAACATCCACAGTTTCGGATTCTACGTGGTAACTCAGGTAAGGGTTTGGGTCCATGGCTCACCATGTATGGGGTTTCCTTGGTGAATAGGGTGGGTTGTTTATGTCACACGTCACCTCTGTCAAGATGCTGGGAAGGGGCAGAAGTACGTCCTGTCCGAAGTCAGGGTCAGCTGACATAATAAGTCCTTCCTTTCTCTTCTGCTTGGAAATTCCGGCAGCCCGGAGGTGTTTCTTAGTTTCAGGAGTTGCCTCATAAAGAACGCACCTGTCGGTGCCCTGGCAGGGAGACTGACGTGCAGAGCCCTTAGGAGTCACCCTGTCTTCATGTGGATAAGTTTGAGATGTTTCATCTTGCTAAAGATTTGACCCCTGGGGTTGGAGGGTGTGTCCTCCAGCTGAAGCCCTAGCTGGAGTCAGCCTAACAGTGGTGGCAGGGAGTTCCCACCAGGGAGTGCCCCAAACCTTCCCAAGATGGGGCTGGTTGGGATTCCAAAGAACACAGCACTAACTGCTGGGTGATCAGTTTAAAGCGTGTATTAGGGGAACTTACGTACCGAGGGCTGTAGTATATAGTCTTGACACGCAGCGGGACAGGGCGTTCCACGCAGGTCTGTCTGCAGCGAGGGATTGGTGTATGGAGTTTGTATGAGGGTTTAAGGAATTTGGCCCAGGGCCAGGGCTAGTTTCTTTCCATGTTTTGGGTCAGCAACTGAAACACCTTTGTCAGTGCCTAGGAGTGTTCAGGGGCCAACTTGGGTCCCAGCCTACAAAGGAAAACCTGCAGCTGGTCGGGTCGCAGTGAGAGAAAAAGCGGGGAGACCTGAGGACTCTACAGAGGGATGCAAGGGCAGAAGGAAGGGCCGACTTTGGAGTCAGGCAGCAGGAGGGGGTATGAGGCAGTCAGTGGAGAGAACAGGAGAGATCATGAAGGTGCTAGAAGGGGAGGAGGCCTGAGGGCAGCCCATACTGGCTTGCCCTTGGAGCTGGAGCCCTTCCGGAGTCTCCTGGCTTCTGCCCTTCCCAGCAGTGCTGTGGATCAGTATTCAGCAGCCGAGGAAAACAGTGGGAAATAACGATGCTCATCTCAGGCTTTGTGATGCTTCCAGGGCTCCCAGATAGCTCAGGGGAATGCTTAAAACCATCAAGGCAAACTGTATTTAATTTTGCTTTGAAGATTTTGCCATAACACTTGAAAAGTTTGGCTATTTTAATTACAAAAGCAGTTCACACTTGTGTAGTAATATAGAAAATTAGAAGGGAGGAGAAAACAATTTTCCAGAGTCCCAGCATGTGGAGTGAAGGCCCAGCCAGGTCAGCCCAGAGGCAGCAACAGGTAGACCAGCGGCTCCCAGGCGTCTTCTAGAGCAATAGTTCCCAACCTTTTTGGCATCAGGGACCAGTTTTGTTTAAGACAGTCTTTCCACCCGGGACCAAGGTTGGGGAGAGGAGGATGGTTTGGGGATGAAACTGTGCCCTCTCAGGTCATCAGGCATTCGATTCTCATAAGGAGCACATAACCTAGATCCCTGGAATGTGCAGTTCACAACAGGGCCACGCTCCTATAAGAATCTAATGGCCCCCACTGATCTGATGGGAGGTGGAGCTCAGGTGGCAATGCTCGCTCTCCCACCACTCACCTCCTGCAGTGTGGCCTGGCTCCTAACAGGCCACGGATCAGGACTAGTCTGTGCCCGGGGTTGGGGACCCTGCTCTAGAGAGCTGGCTTACTGCAGTGAGGTGGTTGGCGGTGCCAGGCTGGCCCTGGTTTCCTGCAGTCTTGTAGAGCCACCCCCGAGTCTCAGGATGCTAGAGCGTCCTCAGCAATACATTCCCCAAGTCCCTTCATGAAACTCAAGTCAGGGATTCTTTAGAAGGAGATACTTTGTCCAGGCGTGAAGTCAAGGCTGTGTTCATTCCAGAGAATGATGATCAACAGTACCTTCTCCATGGCCTGGTGAGGGAAAACATGCAATTCACAAGCCATGTTTATCGTACAATTCTATGAACAGTTCTCTAAAGAGAAGAAAGCTTTTCTCTCTTTAAAAAGTTTGCATTTATTTATTTTTTGAGATGGGGCCTTACTGTGTTGCCCAGGCTGGAGTGCAGTGGTCCCAGGCTCAAGCAATCCTCCCACCTCAGCTTCTTGAGTAGTTTGGACCACAGATGTGCACCACCACACCTGGCTAATTTTTAATTTTTTGTAGACAAGGGGGTCTCTATATTGCCCAGGCCGGTCTCAAATTCCTGAACTCAAGAGATCCTCTCGCCTCAACCTCCCAAAGTGCTAGGATTACAGGCATGAGCCACTGCACCCAGCCTCTTTCTATGAAGTTTTTAGATTCAAAAGAGACTGTAAAGCTTGGCCCCACACTGTTATAAGGTGTGATCTCCTGGTGGTGGGGCTCTGCCTGGGTTTTCTTTCCTTGCTTTTCTCTACTTATTCTAAAATTTCCACAACAGACATGCATTACTTTTATTTTGAAAAATATATAGATACCTGTGTACATGGTTTAAAAATACATACGTAGTTTAAACTGTATATAAATATACAATTGACAGTCCATCTCTGGCTGTCATACCCCCTTCTTTGTGTGAGCGGGGCAAGCCCTGTGTGCCTCCCTGCGGCGCTCTCCCAGGCCTGCTTCCTGTGGGTCAGTCTCTCCTTTGGCCTCTCCCGCAGGTCATCAACGGGCTGGTGCAGACCACCGGCTGGCCCAGCGTCGTCACCTGCCTCGGCAACTGGTTTGGAAAAGGAAGGTGAGGAAAAGCAGCCCTGTTTCCAATAGCAGATGAAAACTAGACCATTTTACTTTGAGATTTTTTGTAGACTGATTACAGCAAAAACACTTTAGTATCCTCTTTAAAATATGATGGCTGAAACCTCTGGGGCTTGAATTGCTGAAATTCAGATGGCCTGTGTCCCACGAGACGGGAGCTCCTCCCTCCCACTGTGGGCCCGGTGGAGTCTGTGTCACTCGACGGCTCCTCTGACAGCTGCATCTGGCCTCCCGGGTGTTGTGGGAGATGCAGAGTCCAGGACCCTGCCCCAGGTCTTTTGAAGCCGAAGCTACATGTTAACATGGGAGTTTGGGAATTCCCAACCTGCGTCACCCAGCACACAGCACCAAAGTAGCAGAGCTGGGACCCAGCCTCTGGCGAGTCCAGATTTATTTGTAAATGGCTGTGTAAAATTCAGCTCAGCCAGGCCAAAGGCTTATTTGTGGTGGAAGATACCAAACAAGATGCAGAAGCTAAAACGGGAACACCGGCGTCATCAGGTCTTAAGTCTTAGATACTGTGCCTCATTCACCTGCTGTGTACCTCCATGAGTTTTGTTCAAATGACAGTTCATCAAGTGACTGTGTATTCATTGACTGTAGAGGCACAAATTTTAATTTCAGGCCTTCCAAGACTTTCAGAGAAAGGCCTCTTTCTCCTTGAGTACAAAATGCACTCAGAGCGAGAGGTGGAATGGGTGATGGCACGGCCTGAGGCCACATAAACAGATCAGCTCTCGTGAGCATCGCGAGTCCTGCATGCCACGGAAGCAGAGTCTGCACGGTCCTCATTGATTCTGCACTGACTGCCTGCTTTACAGGCACTGCTGCGCCCTGCACTGCTGGACTCGTTTCAGCTTCTCAGCTCCATCTTCTGTCTTCTGTTTTGTTGTGTTGCAGGAGAGGTTTGATTATGGGGGTCTGGAACTCCCACACCTCCGTAGGCAACATCTTGGGGTCGTTGATCGCTGGCTACTGGGTGTCCACGTGCTGGGGCCTGTCCTTCGTTGTGCCTGGGGCCATCGTGGCAGCCATGGGGATAGTGTGCTTTCTCTTCCTCATTGAACGTAAGTGCACGTGGCCTTGGAGACCACCCACCAAGGGAGGCCTCGGGTTTCCCTGCTCGGGTGGGCCTCAGGGACAAGTGTGAGAGCTGTGTGGCCTAGCGCCCTGTTTGCCTGTGGCTACCTCAGCGCTCTTCCTGTCAGGGAGACTTCCTTGGGGAGCTGGTTCTCTCCTGGTCTTGCGGGATTTTCTACTGTCCCCCGATTTCTGGAGTGACCCATGTCTACATTCCTTCCTCCCGTCCTCCTGCCCTCCCTTGCCTCAGCATCAGGCGTTCGTGCCTGGGAGTCTTCCATTTCCCCACAGGCTGTTCCCTCTCACGCCCATCTTGCCACCGAAACCTGAATTGGACCCGGTCAGCTCTTTGCCTTCTGATAAGATAGATCTTGGACAGTGTTATAAAAGACTTACTTAATATCTTAACTGGGTAAAAGGTATCTCTTGGAAAATCAAATCCCTTATTCCATTTCAGATTCAGTAGCAAACTTTTGATTTAACTGAATTTGAAATTCATTTTTGAAGTAGAGATCCGCCAGGCTCTGGTGCTGAGAAGACTCGGGACAGTTACAGCAAGAATAGAGACCCCCGGGTGGCCCCAGCGGTCACATGACAGGGGCTCGACTCCTGCCAGCCACTCTGATAAGCTGTACTCAACCCTTAGTTCTTCGACTGAGTTTAAAGCACCGTGAAACCATACGGCAGGAGACAGCTCCCTCCTGCTGCCTGCCCGGTAGGGACACTCAGAGCCAGCTCCCTGCAGCCATGCTGGGCATTGCGTATCACTTCAACTCTGCATGCAGAAGTTAATCCATATTCCATTTAGTTGCTCACTTTTTGTGTCTTGCAAAAGCTAACCTTTTAATTTTTAAGATAACCATCATCCGGCCGCTCTGCGAGTTCGGAGACTCTCACCTCATGCTTCTCTGTTGGTGAAAATGGAAATAAACATTCAGATGAGGAATGTTCAGACACACACCCATTGCTGTGAGCAGAAAGTGGGGGCCCCGGGCTGCACTCAGCTCCCCTTTCCCCGCTTCTGCAGAGGCTGAGTAAGCCTTTGGCCACACCCTGGACAGCCTGAGCAGGGACCTTGTGGGATGGGTGGGGCTCTGGCTCCCTCACCAGTGGGCCAACTTGTGGCTTTCAGCTCTGGCTGGTGTGTCACTGCAGTTCTGAGAAAGGCCGTTTCCGCCACTGGTTTTCCGCTCTGATTCCTAGAACCTGGAGTTCTGTGCCCCTGCTGTCCAGGTGTTTGAGACACCAGCCACTCAGAGAATAATGTGCCTCTCTGTTAGCGCACAGGGGCCCCTGGCTGTCTCCTGCCTGAGGGCAGAGTCCACGGAGCCTTCTATTCTCTTCCTCAACTGGAAATGGGCTGGCTCTGGGGAGAAGAGGACGTGTGGAAGGGAAAGGAGCTTGCTCAATGGCCGGGACCTCAGCGCCCGCTCCAGGCATTCAGGGCGCTGTGTTGATGCTTGTCTCTGTAAGCGGAGAGAGCTCGGCTCTTGTGAATAAGCCTCCCTGATCCAACTTGGGCAGATAGCAATGAGCCAGATGCCCCCTGTCGCTGGGTCCTCTCTGGCCACAGGCCCGCTCACCTACAGGAGGGCTGCATGCTTCATCTCTAGCCAAACAAAACCAAGCTACCAGAACCTCGTGCCCAGGGAATCTGACACTCTTTCCCCTCGTGCCTGGGAGGTACACTGTGTCTGAATGATGAGACCCAGCTGTGACAACAGTGGCTGGATGCTGAGTCTGAGAACGGGAGCTCTTTGCAGGGAGAAAACATCAAGCACCCCTTGATTTGTTTCTGCCCCTCCTGGTCCCGAATCACCGACCCTGGGTAGGTACTAAAGGCATCAGATGCGCCATTCTTGCGATCAACAGAGGATATGGCTTTCTCTGCTATGCCTTCACTCCTGTCTCCTGCTCAGGGTGAGCTCCAAAGGACGGGGCATCCCCTGCTCCCTTCTCAGGCCTCTCTAAGTCTCCTTTATGAAGCTGTTCTCAGATGTGTCCCAGCCAAGGGACATGTGTGCTCAAGTCCCTCAAGGTGAAAGTCCTGGAAGAGCCATATCAGGGGGACCCCCTGGCTTGCCCCTGGGGGCATCATGCTGTGAGTGGATACAAATGGGGTGAGTTGGCTGATGTCCTTTAAATTGGTGACCGCACATCACAGGTGGACCATTGGGACTGCCCAGCATGCCGACCACGTGTCCTTGGTCAGTGGCCTCGCCCTGTGGGCTGTGCCCAGGACAGGAGGGCAGCATACCCCGCAGCCAGCCGCGGACCTCTGGGTGCAGACCCACCTGGCCCTATGGCATGGGCAGGGCCTCGAGGCCAGCAGGAGTGTGCTCGGCGGCTGCATGCCTCTCCATGACGTCCCTCTGTGTTGTGTGGGAATGGACTTGGCCGTGGGAAGCCTGCAGCCCTGGAGCTCAGTTCAGGTTGCAAGCCAGTAACCAGTTTCATCCAAGGTGATAAAGGTGCTGGGTAGTCAGGGGGGCTGCAGAGATGGAGCGAGAAGCAGTAGGGCTGGTTTCCCGCGGCACCTAGAGCCCTGGGGTCTGACTCTGGGTTCCCACCTTGCTCAGGGCAGGTTGCTGGCGTCTGTAAAGGACAAGCTGAAGCCTCACTTCTGGTTCTGCTCCTTTTCAAGTTTCCTCCCTTCCTGGTGTTGACATAAAGATGTTTGTTCCATATCAAGATAGATGTTTTATCTCCACTCATTTTTATTTCTAATGAATTTCATAACATGAAGTACCTCATTACAGACATTCTTCCAGCCTCGTTCCCCTGCTGTGCTTTTCCTGGTTTTGCTTTCCTTATGGGGCTTGTCCTCTGAATGTGAATCATGGGCTTGTCCACACGGCGTCTGCATGCTCTGCTTGTGATTATTGGCCACGCTGGGAAGTATTTTCCATATTTAAAGCAGTGTTCATGTTCACAGTGTTGGCATTGGCTGGCGGTGATCTGCCGTACCCACCTTGCACACAAGTGGGCTGCCAGGCCGGGTGACTGAGGACAGGCAGGGCATGTGTGGGGTCACTGGTGGGCCAGCCAAGCTGTGCCCTTGCCCTCGCCTGCCATGCTATGGCAATGGCTTTTTTCTGAAATGAATGCCAATTTAGTAAAGGTATCAGATGGCATCTTGTGTTTTATTAAATTTTATTGTGTATATTTAAGGTATATAACATGGTGTTACAGATACATAGAGATAGTAAAAAGGTCACTAGTAAAGCGAAGCAAGTTAACATAGCCATCGCAACTCACAGCTGCCCGCTCTTGTTTTTGTGGCACGAGCAGCTCAAATCCACTCATTTAACGTGAATCCCGCATACGGTCCAGTTTCACCACCGGTGCTCCCGTGTTGCCCTGCCCTGGGGTCCCGTAGCTTACTTGGCATTGCCATGGTGGTGGACCTGCTCAGCCTGGACTCATGTTTACTCTTTCAGATCCGAAGGACGTCAGGTGCTCCTCCACCCTGCTGACGGTAAGGACCCTATTTTCTTGTCCTCTTCTAGAACAGTGTGCAGTTCGCCAAGTGTTCTGACCACTTCCCCAGCCTGCTCCTGCCTTTGTGGTGTCAGACAGAAACACACAGGGTAGACTGAAGTCCCACCCTCAAAATATTGGCAGTTCTAGGAATAGAGAATATTCTCTTCTGGGTTTTGCTGATAATAACCTTATCAACAAAACCCAAACAAGAGGTTCGATGCCATCCAGATGGAGGGCTTCATGCTAAGGGAAACCAAAGGCTGGGTCCTGGCCAGGCCTCCTGAGGGGTGGAGACCTCCTGGTTTCCCCGGGGGCCTCAGCGTGACTGAGGAAAAATGCATGTGTCAGCTGGCTGCCATCACTTAAGTTGGTGGCTACACATCTCAGGTGGCTGAGAGGTCTGCCCAGCACGCCATTCCTTCCCTTCTATACCCTTGCCCAGCTCAGCCAGCGTAGGCCCTGCAGGCAAGATTGCTGATCGTGTCAGCTGCCGTGGACGAGCCCTGCCCTAGCTGCCTCTGCCCACAGCAAGTCACCACTGGCCACTTTCCCACCTGGCTAAGGCCAGCCCTCCCGTGGTACCAGTCCCGTCCCTCTCATGGCCCAGGGCTTGTCTCCTGCAGACACACCCCCTGCCCCAAATATCATTCCTGGCACACTCATGTAGTACTGATGGCTGTCTTGGAAGGAAGTCCCTCTGGCTCTCATGCCTGCTCCCAGCTGCCCCAGTCCCCATCTCCACTGGCATGACATCCCTGCTCTCTGCAGGCCACCGCCACCCCATGGTAACAGCCCATCCAGGTCCCAGCAGCATCACCTGGCCACATGGGGAGGTCAGCTCTCCGGCCTCACCCTGCTGGACCTGTCACCTGCATCTGACCTGATGCTTCCCTCCCTCTGGGAAAGGCTCCCCTCCCAGGGCTAACATGCTAGTCACATCTGTGCCGAGTGTCAGACCCCAGATGTGGGGGTGCCCCCAGGCTGCTTCATGGCCTCCTCTCTCCTTGTCTGCCCACTCACTGCAGGAGCGTGCACCCGGGCTTTTTAGCGCCCCCAGGTGCGTTGATGTCAAGTCCCCATGCTGTCCCCAGAGTGACCCCTCCCCTGAACTCCACAATCTGAGATTTCACCGCCACTCAACCTTCCCACGGAGATGTCTGGGTGTCCTTCAGACAACACGACCAGAGATCTCTTGATTTTACCTCTGAACACACCGATCCCCCAGCATCCCCCGTCTCAGTCAGGAAGCTGCTGTCCACCCTGTGGACAGGCCAGACCCAAGAAGCCAGCCCAATGCCCCTTCAGCCCCGCACCCCATCCTTGGCCATGTTCTGTCAGTTCTGCTCTGTGAGGGGGTGTGGAATGGAAACACACTCACCTCCTCCACCTCTACCACCCTGGTCCCCATCACCACCATCAGCTCTCCCCCGAGCCACTGCTCATCACACCCTGGTCCCCGTCTCCACCGTCAGCTCTCCCCCAAGCCACTGCCCATCACACCCGGGCCCCTATCTCCACCGTCAGCTCTCCTCCGAGCCACTGCTCATCACACCCTGGTCCCCATCACCACCGTCAGCTCTCCCCCGAGCCACTGCTCATCACACCCTGGTCCCCGTCTCCACCGTCAGCTCTTCCCCGAGCCACTGCTCATCACACCCTGGTCCCCGTCTCCACCATCAGCTCTCCCCCGAGCCACTGCTCATCACACCCTGGTCCCCATCTCCACCGTCAGCTCTCCTCCGAGCCACTGCTCATCACACCCTGGTCCCCGTCTCCACCATCAGCTCTCCCCCGAGCCACTGCTCATCACACCCTGGTCCCCATCTCCACCGTCAGCTCTCCTCCGAGCCACTGCTCATCACACCCTGGTCCCCGTCTCCACCGTCAGCTCTCCTCCGAGCCACTGCTCATCACACCCTGGTCCCCGTCTCCACCATCAGCTCTCCCCCGAGCCACTGCTCATCACACCCTGGTCCCCATCACCACCGTCAGCTCTCCCCCGAGCCACTGCTCATCAGCTTCCTAGAACGATGCACTTTGCTCCCCAGAATCTCTTCTTCACACCTCACTTGCAGAGACTGTCTTGAAACAGACGTCAGAGCACATCAGCCCCTGCATGACACAGTCCAGTGGCTCCATGTCACCCCATGTGAAATCCTCACCAGTTCATCTGGTCGATCTCTGTCACCCTCACAGAAAGGTGTGAGCCCCTCCGGCCTGGATCATCTCTGGGTCCCGGCGCCCGGAGCACCACCGGGCCTCGTGCAGGAGAGGGAGCCAGAGTCCTCTTTCTGTCTTTTAATACATCGGGCTCCTGGGTATGATTCATACGGAAAGAAGGGTTCTGATACTTGATGACAAAAACAAAGAAACAAAATGAAAGTTGCAAACCAGTGCCTTCAGGAAGGTCAAACACCATATGATGTTTTTAAAACTATAGTTGATATTTTAAAATGTTTTTAAAAGCCGTGTTCCTGCCACGAGCATGAATTTCAATTTCCAAGCTTGTACAGTTGTGCTGTGAAGTAGCTTAAAGCTGCCTGGATCACCCGTCTCGAGACTGGCGAGAACTTCAGCACACACCTTCCGCCCTGGAACATCTTCTGCCCTCTAAGAAGAGCTTTTCCCACCAGGGGCAGCCAGGCCTGAGAATAGGAAGCAGGCATGCAGGGGGTTTGGGGGAGGGGTGGGTCTTCCTCACACACAGTTTTTAGGAATATGAGAACACATCTAAGCGAGAGGCCTTGCTTCTGCTCCTTGTACGTACGAGTTTGGGGCTGAAGCCTGTGTTTCATTCTCCCCGTTCAAATCCTCTTCAAGCAGTTCACTGAGATCTAAGCGAGGGGCTTTGCTTCTGCTCTTTTGTGTGTATGAGTTTGGGGCTGAAGCCTGTGTTTCATTCTTTTTCTTCAAATCCTCTCCGAGCAGTTCACTGAGATCCCATGGTGCCCAGGTGTCCCCGACGTGCCATGGGGCAGGTGGTCCAGAGAAACAGCTTCTCGTCCTCCTTCCTCTCCGTGTTGGCTGGTCGCAGAGGGCGAGATGACTGATACCTGGGGATATTTCATTAGCTTCTGCAGACAGCCCCAAAGTTCTTTTTCCTGCAGGAATGTTACCTGCTCTGTGCAGGACACTGACAAGACCCTTGTCACAGGCCTTCCTGAGGGAGCTGAGGGCAGTTTGGCCAATGTCCCAATAGCTGCTGTCCTTCTGTAGTATCTTCCCTTTATCACAAATGGGCGCAAAATGCATTTGTAAGAGATTTCAGATATGCTGACTTGTTCTGGGAAGTTCCCATGTGGAAGTGTTATTCTTAGGATAAAGTTCTAATTTTTTCCAATATTTCAAAGTTTTTGTTATGGAGACTTTAAACATATAAAAAGGTAAAAATAACAGTATAATGAACCCCTCTGTACCCCATCACCCAGGTTTCCAACAGTTGGCCAATCTGATTCAAACGCCCCTTCTAATACTGCCCCTTCCCACCTCTTGCTGATGTATTTTGCAAGCAAATAGCAATCATGTTAATATTTTGTCTCTGACTACTTCAGTATGTTTCCAAAATATAAGGACCCTTTTATGTGAAACAAAATGTGATATACCATTATCACACTTAAAAACCAATGGCAAAGAATAGAAAAATAGTAGAAAAAAAATCAATGAAACCGAAAGTTGGTTCTTTGGAAAGATCAACAAAATTGATCATTCTGCACCTAGACTGACCAAGGATAAAGGAAGACTCAAATAACCAAAATCAGGACCAGGAAAGGTGGCATTTCTGCCACCTTTACCGAAATGAAATAGATTATGAGGGAACTATTGCCAACAAATTAGAAAACTTAGAATAGACAGAAAAATTCATAGAAGGACAGAAACTACCAAAACTGACTCGAGAGAGTGGAAATCTGAATAGATCTAAAACAAGTAAAGAAGTTGAATTGTTAATTTAAAAATTTCACTCAAAGAAAAGCCCAGGACCAGATGGCTTTACTAGTAAATTCTGCCAAACGTTGAAAGAAGAGTTAATACTAATTGCTCACAAACTTTTTCAAAAAATAAAAGTAGGGGGAAACTTCCTAATTCATTCTACGAGGTGTTATCGTAATAACAAAAGACTAAAACCTCTTAAGAAAACTGTATACCAGTATCTTTTATGAGTGTAGATGCAAAACTCAATGCCAGCAACCTGAATTCAGCCACCTACAAAAGGATTATGTACCATAATCAAGTGGGATTTATCCCAGGAATACACAGTTGGTTTAACAAGTAATGTTAATGTAATACTCCATATTGATGGATAAAGGACAAAAGCTGCATGATCATCTCAGTATAAGCAGGAAAAACATTGGACAAAATCCAACACCCTTTTATGTGAAAACACTCAACAAACTAGGAACAGAAAGCAACTTCCTGAACCTGACAAAAGGCATCTAATGAAACCCACACCCCGGAGCTTAATGGTGAAGCGGGTGCTTTCCCCCAAGATCAGGAGCAAGACGAGGAGGCCTGCTCTTGCCACGTCTATTTACCATCGTACTGCAGGCAGGACAGTTAGGCAAGAAAAGGATAAATGGCATGCAGATTGGACAAGAAGTAAGACTACTTCTCTTTGCAGATGACATGATCTTTTATACAGAAAATCATAAGGAGTCCTCAAAAAAAAATGGTTAGAGTGAATTAACAAGTTAGCAAGGTTGCAGGAAACAAGAGCAGTATACAAAAATCAGTTGTATTTCTATAAACTAGCAATCAACAATCCAAAGATGAAACTAAGGCCATTTCATTTACAATAGCATCAAAAAACATGATGCTAAGCAGAAGAAACCAGTCACAAAAGGTCACATATTATATTATTTCATTCATATGAAATGTCCAGAATAGGCAAACCTAGAGACAGAAAGGAGATGAGTGGTTGTCAGGCACTAGGGTGGGAAGAAAGGGAGGATGACTGCTAATAGGTATGGGGTTTTTTTAAGGTGATGAAAATGTTCTCAAATTGTAGTGATGGTTGCAAAACTCTGGATTAAAAACCACTGAATTGTGAACATTAAATAAGTGAATGGTACAGTATGTGAATTCTGTCTCAACAATGCTATTATAAATTTTTTAAATCTAAATCCTTTCTGTTATCACACAACTACTCAGTGGTCAGATCTGCTGATTGTCTCATAAATGATTTTGCACCGTGTTTAAAGCAAGGCCTAGGCAAGGTCCACTTCTTGTGATTGGTGAATTTAATATGCCTCTTAAGCCTCTTCTAATTTATAAGACCTCAATGTTTGGTTTTTTGGTTTGGTGTTATTCTCCTTTGAATTATTTTTGTCAAAATAAAAAATGGTCATTTTTTTCTGCCAACTTTCCCACATTTGAGGCTTTGCTGACCTTGTGCCTGGGGTGTGTTTCACGTTTTCCTCTATCCCCTGTATCTCCTGTAAACTGGAAACCTTGATCGGATCCAGATTTGATTTTTCTAATTAGTTTTTGTTTCAAATGAATCACAATTAATATGAAAGAGAGTATTCAATTCTTTACCATTTGCCTTGAGTCTGAGGGTGCTAATAAGAATGTGTCTCTTGATGCTTCTGCCCTGTGCTATTGAAGAGCCATGGGGACTTGCTCTTTTGATTTATATTTGATTTCTAGGTTACTTAGGTTTAGGATATCTATTTTGTGCCCTAATCTAGGACCTCATTGGGTCCAAAACCCTGTATCAGTTGTGCCAAATTAATGCTTTTTATTAATATCTTCATATTAGTTGGGGTTGTGTTCAGCAGCAAGCAATAGAAAAGCCCACAGGCAGTGACTAAAACGAGATTGGAAGGTATTTCTCTATTCTATTCAAGAAATCTAGAGAGAGCCAGCCCAGGATGATGTGGGGTGTGTGTGTTCAGTGCCAGGGACACAGACACCTCTTGTCTTTTCGTTCTTCCCCTGTGCATGGCTTCATGCCAAAGGTGATATATTCCAACCAATTAGAACAGTGCCTGGCACAGAGTTGATGCTTAATAGTTATTTGTTGAATGAATGAGTGAATGATTGGTCCGTGGCTGCTGGAGCTCTAGCCATTACATCTGTATTCCAGCCGGGAGGAAGGAGGGAAAGGAAATTAGGGACAGGCCCCTTCCCTTTCAGGAGACTTCCTAGCATTTCCTAACATTATTTCTGCTTAGCTGACCACATCAAACTGAAAAGGAATTGTAAGATAGGCTTTGCCTGAGCACCCACGTTCCTGGCTGAAAAGCAGAAAGAAGAGGGCCCAGGTAATGCTGGCGGCCTCTGCACGCTGCGGGGGGCCCAAATGCTGGGGAGCAGGAGCCCATCTCTGCTTCTGCCTGGAACGGTCGGAGGATGAACCGGCCAGATCATCACCCCTAGCCTGGCAGGCTTTGCGCTCCATCTGAGCACAAAACAAATGTATTTTTAAAGATAGTTTGTTACATTTTCAGGTAATAAGATCAGTAGTTTTTCTTAACCTTCAAAAACCTTTTCAGGGGAAATGCCTCGAAATGTAAAGGGTGGGATCTAACTGTCCATCTGAACGAAGTTTAACCCATGCTCTGTCTTCCCCGTGTTTCCCGCCGTTTGGAGGCCTCACAGATCTCTACTTGCAGATCTCACAGGTGGCGTGCGAGCCTGGTGGTTTTTTCTTCTCAAATGGATCCAGCACTAGTGCCAGAAATCTAAATCACCTGGGCCTCTCTAGGCCTTAGAAATTGTTTTGTTATGATTTGTACTAGAGTGATTGAATAACATCTTTCTAAGTACAGACTAATTCCTTATTTTAAAGGAAGTTTGCTTAGACTATTTCTTAAAGAAAATGAAATTTTACCATTAGAGAATTTCAACAATTATTTTTATACCATTAATTATCTTCAAAAGGGGTTCTACATAGAGCCCTACAGAAATAATGATTAGGAAATGGTACGTTTATTCTAGTGCCCAAGAAACTGCCTTCATTTCTTCACTTTTCACTTGGTAACAGGAGATAATTTGGAAATGATTTTGAGGTTTGGCGCTCTCAGCGAGTCCTTCCACACCCCTACCTGCTAGCGGCAGGTGCGCATTCTGGGGCTGTGGAGCACATTCTGGGCTTCCACACTCTCCTTCCGTAGGGAGGGTTTTCTTCCTGCAGAAGCAGTCGGCTGGCCTAGGGAGGGCAGGTGTTCCTCACGTGTTAAACGGAAAGATGGTTCTGTGCCTTTTCATTTCAAAACCGTTGAAACAATCTCACACTCATTAAGAAAGTTAATGGATATTTTTACATTTGGTTACACCTCTGTCTTAGCCCTTTCTTCAAGAAAGGATTTGATTTTCACATTCTATTATCTGAGAGTCTGGAGTGTTGAGACCAACCATTACTCTGTTTAAATCAGTTGTCTTATGTCCTCTTGGTAGCTTTTTTGGGACTATAGTAAGTATCCTTGCTACAGTAAAGCCAGGTTTAATTTCTAACTGTTCAATCAGTATTGCTCTAATGAAACTTTTTTTTCCCCAGCACTCAAAAGGCTCTGAGAATGGTACAAACAGATTGAGACTCCAGAAGCAAATCTTGAAGACCGAAAAGAACAGGCCTCTGGTAAGTCACACACACTTCCTAGAATGTCGGAGCTGCAGGAAAACTCCTTTGAGCCTCGTCAGCTCTCTCTGTCCCTCTGCCTATGTGACGTGTGTCACAAACATCCAGGTCTTAAAAAAATTAGGTCTCATTGAATTTCTTCAGTAAAATTTGAGTTTGCCCTTATTGGCTTTCTTTGGATTTTACACTTAACCAATTCATTCATTCAGCAGCTCCGCAGCTTTCAATGTCCCAGGCACTATTCCAGGTGTGGGGGGTGGTGCTGGTGCAGACGGAAAGCAAGCAGAGATGTCCCCCAAGAGGTGCCAAGTACAAGGAAGACAGGCTGAGCAGGCTCTATTTTCAGCTGGCCTTGGGGTAGGCTTCCCTAGGCAGACAGTGCTGGAACAGAGCTGTGAGAGACTGGAGGGAGAGTCTGCATGTGCCTGGCTGTGACAGACTGGAGGGAGAGTCTGCAGGTTCCTGGCTGTGAGAGACTGGAGGGAGAGTCTGCAGGTGCCAGGCTGTGAGAGACTGGAGGGAGAGTCTGCAGGTGCCTGGCTGTGACAGACTGGAGGGAGAGTCTGCAGGTGCCTGGCTGTGAGAGACTGGAGGGAGAGTCTGCAGGTGCCTGAGCACAGAGGCTGTCAGGGTGAGGGGCGCATGGTGGGTTGGCCACATGAGGTGCACACAGAAAACTGACATCATGGGACCAAGAAAAGGTAAAGGAGAAGCAGGTAACAGAAAGAGGCATCTCCCCTTCCCCCATGTCACAGATGAGGAATTCGGGACACAGAAATGCTAAGTTAATCTGCCTTGTCCTCTGCAGTAGTGGGGAGCCCTCAGTGCAGGCTCTGCCCACCGCTGGCACCTGAGCCTCCTGTCCCCTACCCTTTCCATCCTCGATCCTTGTAGAAGCTCCTCCCATTGCTGCTGCTTAGCTGACCACACCAAGACACAGCAGGCATTTTAAATTTGAGTTTAATCATTGAAGTTATAAGCTGTTCTCTTTCTAAATGAGAGTTTTTGTTTTGTTTTGTCTTGGTTTGGTTTGGTTTTTTGTTTTGTTTTGTTTTGTTTTGAGACAAGGTCTTACTCTGTCACCCAGTCTGGAGTGCAGTGGCACGATCTCGGCTCACTGCAACCTCCGCCTCCTGGGTTCAAGCGATTCTCCTGCCTCAGCCTCCCAAGTAGCTGGGATTACAGGCACCCACCACTACCCCTGGCTGAATTTTATATTTTTTAGTAGACACAGGGTTTCACCATGTTAGCCAGGCTGGTCTTGAACTCCTGACCTCAGGTGATCCACCCACCTCGGCCTCCCAAAGTGCTGGGATTACAGGCGTGAGCCACCACGCCCGGCCTCTAAATCAGGTTTAACCTTCTACAGACACAGGGCCTCCTCTGGGAGAGGCCCCCTCTGGCATGTGTGAGGGGCTGCTCTCCCTACCTTTTAAATCAAATGGCTTAAAGGATTAATGTACTAAACATGCGTCTCACTTTTTATTGACTGGGGAAATTTATTTGTGGTGGCTGAAATATTAGAAAAGGGAAAAATGATGTCTCATGCATCTGGGTTCTTGGATTTTAAGGAGATCGCAGGCAGTGACTAATTCAACCAAAATGCTTTAAAATCTGTACTTCTGAATTCACATTTAAACAAATCATGTCCTAATCAGTGTCCAAAAGACTGTGGCCCCTCTCTGATGATACTGAAGCTGGCCACCTGCTCTGAATCAAGACCACAGGCCCTTTCTTCTGGTGTAGTAACTGACCCATAAAACTAGCCCTGGCTTCTGAGTATAGCTTCTCTCTTTCCTTTTCCGGGCCCTTCTAAGAAAGGCTGTTTACCAACTTGCTGTCAAGGAGCCAGTTACATAAGTAAAGGCACTGGCAGGCCTTGTTTCAGGCTGAGGGTGATGCTTCAGATGACCACAACCGGGCACGTGCTGGCCGCGCTTGCGTGGCGCCCCCTTTCGGCAGGCCTGCCGTTGCATTTGGGTCAGGGTCAGTGGGGAGAGTGCCCCGCGAGTTTGGCTGGACACCCTGGATGTCCCCTTTCCCAGAGTGACCACTGGGCCCCTGACCTCCACTCCTTTTCAGACAGCTGCTAAATTATGTCACATGGCAGGCACTTTCTCAGTGGCCTCGTGAAGAGACGTGTAAAGAAAGCTGCGGGGTGGGGAGCAAATGTGGGAAAGAGAACGAGGCTCTGCTGTCACTTGGCCATGTGGCAAGCCCACAAGTCCCCATGGGCATTTTAGAGGATTGTTTTGGGGGCGGTTGCACTTGCCGTCCCTGTAGTCACTTGTCACTTTTCCTCCTTGACATCTCTGAGGATCCTTCTGATTGACTGTGGCTCAAGAACTTTTGGGCCCACCAAACACAGCATGAGCGCGGAGTGGGTATTTGGAGGTTGAATGTGACTCCACCGCGTACTTTGCACGCCAAGTGGGAACTCCACAAATCTCTCTGCGATGGCCTTTCCTAAGGGAAGCTGCGGACAGCATCGGGTAGCGGGGTGAGCTTAGCATTTTTAGATACAGCGGTCATTATTACACAGTCCCCCCACGTGCATCTGTGTGGATTTTTGTTGTGCGTGTGTGTGTGTGTGTTTTAGTAGAGGGAGCCCTTTTCTCTTTGAAAGTGTAAGCCCTAAGCGTGGCGTGCACTGGCCACAGAAGCCCCCACACCCGCCAGGGGCTCCACAGATCCCATCTGGGGCTCTTGGGACACAGACTGGAAACTGCTTGTTTAGAGGCAGAGGTGCCTCTTGGCCTCCAGCCTTGTCTTGGTCCCCCCGGTGGCTTCTTGTTTGCTATGTAAGGAGGAGGCAGCAGCAGCCCCCCTGTTTGTTTTGGAAAACCAGCCATGGCCCACACTGTCTTTCCCATCTCCTCCAGAAGTAAGCAACTGGGGCGTGGTGGCTGCAAGTCCTGTTTAAGATGAGTGGGTGTGAGCACAGGGCCTACTCTCAGCAGAAACAGAGCCTTCTGTCTGTCTAGGGGGCTCCTTGCTGCTTAGATAAGGAGCAGAGGGTCTGTGTCTGTGGCTTTAAACCAGCCCAGCAAGTGGACCAAGAGCACTTCACAAATCCTGCAAGGGCCGTGGGTGGCCCATGTGCATCTGGGGCCTACCTGAGGCCAGGTAGATCTTCTGTGTCGACCTGCAGTCACTTCTGTGTGGGTCAGAGGGTGCGCTTCTCCTGCCTAAGCGGCCTCTTTCCACTTGACTTTTCTCCAGCTGGTTGCATTTCACCCACTGCTTAGCCTGTTTCCTACAGAACAGCCTGTGAAGTCCTGTAGCCCTCAGCTTGCTATGAGTGGAACTCGCCTGGGGCTGCCCCAGGGACTGCTTCAGCTGGGCTGGGGGAATTCGGGGCTTCTCAAAGCCCCCCACAGAAGATTCCAGTGTTTAGCCACAGTAGCGCATTACTGATTCAGTTTCCTAAACTGGACGATTAGCAGAACTCATGAGAGAAAAGTTTATTCTGAAGTTCAGTCGCCATTCTTCGTTTTCGCATGCCATGATGGAATTATCATCGGAAGCATGTTAGGCATTTGCACTCAGGCTTGTCATCTTCATTCCAGAGCACCTGACTATGTGGCCACATGTGAGTATCTTCATCAGAGACCCGCTCTCCATGCCAGAGTCCTAGCTGTGAAGCCGGGCTTCCTGGGGGAACATAGATACTGAGCTGCCCCCGAGGCCACCCGCTGGGTGCCCACACTGGGCTGCACTCAGTCCCACCTGCCACCCGGTTTCCAAATTTCTTTTTTCCACTGGAAGAAAATTATAAATATCAAGGGACAGGGGAATATGGAATACATTACCATTTTCTTTCTTTTTTTTTTTTTAATTAAACTACATTTTTAGTCCAACTTAAAACAGGTTATAGTGAGATAAGTACCACAAGGCTGTTTGATTTTGTGAAAGGTCTGAGATGCATTTCTTTGTAAGACCTTGAACCTCATAGTTCATTCATGAAGAACATTTTTATTTTATTTTCATTCTTTTTTGAGACAGGGTCTTGCCCAGGCTGAAGTACAGCCGCACAATCGCAGCTCACTGCAGCCTCAACCTCCTGGGCTCAAGTGATCCTCCTGCCTCAGCCTCCAGAGCAGTTAGGACTATAAGCGCATACCACCACATTCCACTTTTTTTTTTTCCCTAGAGATGAGGGCTTACTGTGTGGCCCAGGCTAACATTATTTTTATGTTATCCTTGCTCTGACTTGAAATCCCACTCTAGGTTGGGGATCACTCTTCTTTGCTTTAATGAATGTATACTTTGTCCTTTAGAGACATCTAGACGATCAGAATTCATAAATATCAGAATGGGTGTATTTTAAAATAATGTTTCTGGTCATATATGGCCATTGTGAGCTCCTAAAAAATACACGATCATGTAAAGAATTTCTTATTAGCATTTTGATAAAAATTACACGTAATTCTACCACTCAGTGACAAGCATTGTTGGCTTAGATTTTAGCTGCTTTCTTTCTAGAAATAGATCCTATAGTTGCCTAGTTATATATGTAGATATTTAAACATTATTTGAGGTTATAATGACATGCAGGTTTGAATGATGTGTTATTTAATGTGTCATAAGCATTTTCCTGTCATTAAAATCTCCCAACCTTTTTTTTTTTTTGCAAGATGTCACTCGTATGGATGTATTTGAATTTTCTAATTTTTCTCAATGATGTGACATCCATTTTACTTTATACGTATTTTCTTACTTTTCAAATTATTTTTTGCAAATAGATTCCTAGAATTTCTGGTTCCGAGGATCTGTGTACCTAGCTGTTCATGAAAATGCATGAATGCTAATCATTGTAACGCAGTGGCCACGTGGGAATGTCACCCAGGATGTCTCCAAGGCAGTGGAAGAGAGAGCCGCCAGGCACCCTCGTCATTAGGAAGCGTGGCCCCACTTCACCCAGACTGCCCAGCTGGTAACACCTTTCCCTTTTGTTCCCAATGGATTTGCCTCCAGGACCCCGAGATGCAGTGCCTGCTGCTGTCAGATGGGAAGGGCTCCATCCACCCAAACCATGTCGTCATTCTCCCCGGGGACAGCGGGAGTGGCACAGCCGCCATCAGCTTCACAGGAGCCTTGAAAATTCCAGTAAGTAAACGTGCCCAGGAGGAGTTTCAGAAGTTTCAGAAAGGGATGCTGCGCTGGCTGTGGGAAGTCTGGTCAGTTGATGATTAAGCTTACAAAGCGATCTGTGGTTATGGAACCCGGGGATTCGAATCCGTAGCCGAAGCCGGACGCTGCACACTGGTAGCTTCAGGACTGAATATGTCTGCAGTGATACTTGGTTTGCCTCATACCATGTTGAAATTGTTTTTTGAAATTCGTTTTCTTCATTTAGAAATTCAGAAGGTTCATAGAAAAATGGGGCTCCCTGCCTTCACTGGAAAAACGGAAAGCCTGGCGCCCTGGGCCTCCCCACGTGACAGGTTGGGGAACTGAGGCCCTGACTACTGTGCCACCTGGCCCCTGTGGCCCGGCCCCTCCCTCCCCAGTACACTTGCCCTCCCACAGGCCTTGAGCGTGAGCCCATGGGAGGTGCTGTCACTGAGTGCCGTGCCGTGGCCTTCACAAGCCTGGCTGGATTCTCTTTCCCTTTCAAGTGTCTTTGGGCTGGGCACTGTCATCCCAGCACTTTGGGAGGCCGAGGCAGGTGGATCAACTGAGGTCAGGAATTCAAAACCAGGCTGGTCAACATGGCAAAACCCCGTATCTACTAAAAACACAAAAATTAGCCAGGCATGGTGGCAGGCGCCTGTAATCCCAGCTACTTGGGAGGCTGAGACAGGAGAATCGCTTGAACCCAGGAGGTGGAGGTTGTGAGCCAAGATCACACCACTGCACTCCAGCCTGGGCGACAGAGTGAGGCTCTGTCTCAAAAAAAAAAAAATGCCTTCAGTGCCACAGCCCATGGTCTGATTGCCTGTGCGTGGTGAACAGAGGATTCCAAGAGTGAGAGGGAGGATGCAGGGACCAAGGGAAGAACAAGCAGCACAGGCGGGAGAAGCCTTGGAGTCAGAATCTGGACCGGGCTGGTCCTCGCTTATACTGCTGGCGTTGCCTCCAGACTAGAAGGGCGCCACCGTGCCCCACATTGGGTGATCAGTCTTGAGGACGAGCTAACTTGGAGCAGATGAGCGGGACGGGCACTGTAAGATTTCTTGCTGCTTTTTCAGTTTTTATTACATTCATGGACTCCCTCAGCAGAGAATCTAAGGAGCCGTGCGCAGGGTGTGGAGAGGCTGTGTTCTTCCGATGGGGGCAGAGAGCCGAGAGCAGGGGCACGGGAGGGAGACCAGACCCTGCCGTGTGGGCTGGGCAGGCTGTCCGGGGGAACTGTCCAGGCCGTGCCCTCCAGCACTGACAGCCAGAGCACCAGGGAGCACACACAGCTCTCACTTGCTGACACGACCTAGAGAAAGGCAGAGGGTCAGGGCATAGGCCCGAGGCCCCTCAGCAGGTCAGGGCTGGAAGCACAAGCAGTGCAACCCAGACCTCAAAATCATATCACAGAAATTAAAGACTGGGGAGAACCTGGACTTCAGAACAGAAAGGATTCCAGTGCCCAGGAGAAACTGGGTCTGCAGAGGCAGACCGTGGGCCGGTGTTCAGCCAGAGAAGAACGTCCCAGCCCAGGCGTGACACCAGCTCATGGGGAAAGGGCTGTGCATGCCGGCCTGTGGAAGCTGCTAGGTTTAAGTCAAAAGATTTGTTTTTAATTGTGTCCTTAATAAAAACTAGTGACCTTTTCTGCTATACCCTCCTCTGTAGCTACCCCCAAATACTTGTACTAAAGTAGGGTGCACACTAGTTATAAAAATACAGGTTTTTATGTAGTGGAGTTATAGACAGTATGGGCTTCAGAGGCCGGCTCAAGCCTCCCCCTGCCACCACCAACCTGGATGTTCCGGGCAAGTGTGGCACACTCTGAGCCTCCATGTCCTCATCTGTCACATGGGCTCCATCCCTGGGGTAATACCGTACGTTGTTCTGAGGATGAAGAGAGGTCATTTAACGACTGCTAAGCACAATGCCAGGCCCGTGAAAGGCATACGATAAATTACACGCACACATCCTCATCAATTGTGAAGACATCAACTCGTTTCATTTTAGAATGACTTGGCGAAGTGGAGCGCTGGGTTCCCCCGGCCCCCGTTTTGGTTGATTTTCAGTGCACAGACAGCCGGGGATTCAGCACCACAGTGTTACTGGATTTCTCACTCTGAATGTTCAGATGGCCTCTGGAATTTTTATCTCACAAGTGCCACCTCTTTCTGAAAGTAGACATGAAACAAACACAAACAGGCATTTTACAGAACCCACCACTCGATTTCCTCACTCGTACCTACGTGTCTCTTTTCATTGTTTTCCCTGGTGCGGACTGGTTTGTAGTACTCACAGGCGGGATGCAGTAGCCTGTGAGCCTGTGTGCTGACAGAATGGTCGGAATTGTTTGATCTGTGTGTTTCCAGATGGCCTTATAATTTACAGTGATTTCAGTTCCAGGGAAGAAGAAGGAGCCATTCAGTACTCAGTCCACTGCGCCCGGCTATACGAGAACTTCTTTAATAGCTAAGTTTTCCAGCCGATGTCGTATGAAAATCAAACCCGTACATGTTTTCATTGACTCTACTCTGATGTAAAGACACTGGGTTTTGATCCTAAAAGGTAGTCTCCATTGGCTGGGCGCGGTGGCTCAAGCCTGTAATCCCAGCACTTTGGGAGGCCGAGACGGGCGGATCACGAGGTTAGAAGATCGAGACCATCCTGGCTAACATGGTGAAACCCCGTCTCTACTAAAAAATACAAAAAACTAGCCGGGCAAGGTGGCGGGCGCCTGTAGTCCCAGCTACTCGGGAGGCTGAGGCAGGAGAATGGCGTAAACCCGGGAGGCGGAGCTTGCATTGAGCTGAGATCCGGCCACTGCACTCCAGCCTGGGTGACAGAGCGAGACTCCGTCTCAAAAAAAAAAAAAAAATAAGTAGTCTCCATTTCAAAATTCAGAAATTTCATAGATAAATAGGGCTTTCTGTCTTCACTTGAAAAGCAGAAAATCTGGCCACACTGGGCCTGCACCCCATGTGACAGTAGAGTAGCTGCAGCTGTGGCCCCACTCCTGTCAGGGGTCCTGCCCCTCCCTGGTGCACCTGCTGGGGTAAGTGCCCCACAGTTCCCGCATCCTCACTGCACCACACAGCTGTGCAGCACCCTCCCCACTACGTGTCTGGAGGTGCTAAAGCCAGACCAAAGACAGGATGTCTTTATGGGAGCGAAGTCATATTTAACTCTGTTGCATATTTACACACACCTGCTGGCTCCACATTTGGAGAAGACGCCCGACCGCTCTCTCTTTCAGGGCGTGATCGAGTTCTCGCTGTGTCTGCTGTTCGCCAAGCTGGTCAGCTATACTTTCCTCTTCTGGCTGCCCCTGTACATCACGAATGTGGGTGAGTATCCGCTGCTAGAACACGTTAAGTTCCGCACACTGACTGGGATCTGAACTCTCTTCTATCTGCTGGTTTCTAGAGTCTTGGAAACACAAGGTCACAAAGGGTGATTTGAGAGACACACTTTTGAATAAGTACTATGATGAAACATAGGCTAAAAAGAATTCAGATATGCAAACTGTATTGCCATAATGGTAACCTTTATGGGGCTTAACGGTTGACACGTTCTATCCCAGCTAGGGCTACCAATTCATGAGGTACTTCCTGCTCTGGGGCCGCCTGCGTTTAAATGTGGGCTACACTGAACTTTGGATCATAGCAGCCAGTGAGCAGAAGCAAGGCCTCTGGGGACCTGAGAGAAGAAATCCCTGATACTCTGACCTGGAAATGGCTTCTGGGAGATAACTTCTCATTTTTGGCAGGGCCAACAGTTTGCTTTACGTTTCGGAAGCCCCGCGGTGGCTGCAGCTCTAGATTATGAGAAACGTGCCAGTGAAATAGTAACATGCTCCCCCAAGTCATGTGTGACCACAGGACAGACGAGGGGATGAAGAGTGCTTAAGGGAAGGGGCCGTTGAGTGGGGAAACCAGAACCCTGGCTGAGAGGAAGCGGGGATGGGCCAGGAGCACGTGGAGGGCTCTTCGCCCAGCGAGCCAGAGAGAGTGAGAGGAAGGAGAAGACAAGAAGACACCAGGCCGTCAGGAAGGGGCAGGATCCGGCGATGTCTCAAAGAGGAGGCCTTTGAGAATGGGGGAGGCCGAGGAGCGCAGACCACCTTTTCTGGGGATGCAGATCCCACCAGCGGAGAATGCTGGCAGCACGAGACTGGAGGCTGAATACCCAGGAGGGAAGTTGAGGAGGTGGTGTGGGGACTGTCCCACAGCCTAGCAGGGACAGGGCCTGCCAAGGACCAGTGAGTGGGGAGGCAGCAAGGAGCGCCCTCGGATCCTGAGGTTCTTTCCCTGCCTCGTGACCCCCGCCTCACTTCGGCCGGTGAGCTGCACACAGCCTGGGCCTTCTTTCTCCCTTCTTCCCCTGTGGTTGCAAAAGGGGCGACATTCTCAGGACTTGAGTCTTGAACTGCTGGCATTTCCAGTTTGTTTGAAAAAAGCAAAGTTTCCCGTCCGTGCCATTGATGATTCGGAAAGGCCAGGTTTGACCTGCAGCCCCAGATGCCGCCCAGTCTCCTTTCTCACGCACGGCTGGCTCAGTCCACCTTAAAGCCCAGAACTTGTACAAAATCTAGTGGAGGGCACCCTGAGCTGGTGCTGGGAGGCCTCTGTGTCCTCATCTGCAGCTCTAAAGTCATGTGGTCAGACAGCACATGTGACAGGACGCTCGAGCATCCAGGCTCCTTCCACACCCCCACTTCTGTCCTGTGTTAATCTAGCTTCATGGTGGAGGGGCCCCTGGGGGGCCTCTGAACCAAAGGTGGGATAATTAGACTGAGCAGAGGAAAGCCACGGTTTTTGGTTAAGAGTGTTTTCATCTTTTCTATGTTACTTGTTTTTTAAATCTGAGTTAACTGCTAATTGCTCCTTGGTGTCAATCAAGCTTATGGAACTGGAGTCTCGTGCATGGATCCTGTTCTGCCATGGTGTGTCACTGTGATGCATGAAAGAGATCCTCATTGTTTCACACTCCATTGTCATTTTAATAGATCACCTTGATGCCAAGAAAGCTGGGGAGCTCTCCACCCTGTTTGACGTGGGCGGAATCTTTGGTGAGTTCATTAAGACCTGTTCTGCTGCAGCAATAATTTCACAAGGCGCATGATCCCTGAGCTGATTCGCTGCTCAGAGGGAGCAGGGTTCCCCAAGGTCTCGTATCCCCTGAGTGGACCCAGCCCAGGAGGGTCAGGCCGTCACCTGGGGGTGGTCTCATGGTCTCCCCTCCCTCCCCAGGGCCCTGACTCTGCACTTGAACAGCTTCCCTCAGAAACAGCATGCCAGCTGGGCTCAGGGGCTCATGCCTGTTATCCCAGCACTGTGGGATGCCGAGTTGGGAGGATCGCTTGAGCTCTTCTTGTTATGAAGACCAACCTGGGCAACATAACAAGACCCCTCTCTACAAAAAATAATAATAACTGGGCATGGTGGCTCGAGCCTATGGTTCCAGCCTTGGGAGGCTGGGATGGGAGAATGGCTTGAGCCTAGGAGGTTGAGGCTGCAGTGAGCCATGATCATGCCATTGCACTCCAGCCTGGGTGACAGAGTGAGACCCCATCTCAAAACTAAAACAAAAAAAACAGCAGCAGCGTGCCTCCTGGGCAGGTGACAGACTGGCCACCTTAGTACCTTGATAGATAAAGGGGCTTCAAGAGTGGTCTAAAACCTGAACTCACAGATGTCTCCAAGACTCTCACATCTGACCACAACCAATGGAGGCCTGTGGGGAGGTCAGGCCTGTGAGAAGCCTGCCTGCCCGTGATGCATGGAGAGAGGGGCTTGGGAAAGGAGGAGGCCGTTCTCCGGGCTCCTGCAGTTCTGCTTCCTCCCCGTGGGCTCATGCCCTGGGACGTCAGCGCCTGAAGCCCGCCTCTCCGTTGCAGGTGGGATCCTGGCAGGTGTGATCTCAGACCGACTGGAGAAAAGGGCCTCCACCTGCGGCCTGATGCTGCTGCTCGCAGCCCCCACGGTCAGCCCTGCTGCCTTCCCTGGGCCCCAAAGCCTGCAGACAGATCTCCACTGTCCTCCTCACCAGCCAGCATCCTCTCCTATCTGTCCCATGCTCCACTTTCCTGACAAGCCCACTTCATTCCCTCTCGTGCCTCCTGTCCCCTGACCCCTCCCTCTGCACCTGCGGGCCTCCACCAGGCTCCCTCCCCCACATGCACAGCTGCTGCTGGTTCAGCATGAGCTGTGCACAAGCTGCTCCTCGCTTTGGGGTGCCCCCTTGCCCCAGACAAGTTCCTGCCCATCCTTTGGGATCTGCAATACCTCCGCCACCTCTTAGGCATCGTTGACCCCTCTCGTTGTGACACATGGTGCATAGCACTTTTCAAGCATTTCGTAGCTCCTGACCTTGGTGGTGACATCCCTCTCTGTGCCCAGTTCCCTCATCTGGAAAATGGGATGTCAGTAGCACCATCTTGCAGTGGGTTAGAAACAATGCACATCCTTACTGTTTTTATCGTCGTAACATTAGAGGTAACAGGCTTGTCAGTGGACGCTGTAGCTCTGCACGTCTGCCTCTCCAGTAGCCCCAGAACAAGGGCTGACTTTCAGCCATCTTGGGGTCCTGGACATGGCCCAACACAGACCCTGAAAGAATGCTGAGTGAAGAAATGCCTGGGTGGGCCCCTTGCTGCCATGGGGGTGGGAAGCCTGAGGACTTGGCAGTCAGACTCTCAAATCAAATCAGGAGCTCCAGAAGGCTGCCCTTGGCTGGAGATGTAGAGTGGGAGCACCCTGCAGATTTCCCCAGGTCGCCCGGAGTGCTTGGTCCAAAGCCCTCGTGGTGGGGACAAGGCCCAATGCCTGAGATGGGAGGGGGCGTGGCCGTCACTCTTTTTCAGGGGTTTCCACTCTTGGGATGGCTGCCTGAGAATCACCCGCCGGGCTTTTGAGAAGTAGGTTTCCAGCCATCTCGTGCTGCCTGCAGCCAGCCATAGCTTTGACCTTGTGTCTTGATGTCCACAGCTGTACATCTTCTCCACCATCAGCAAGATGGGGCTCGAGGCCACCATCGGTGAGTATGGAGGCCTTCCTGCTTTTCTTTCACATACGTTTTTAAAGTTCACACAACTGGCAAGATGAAATATTAAAATCAACAGGTGCATTGAGTTGGTTTAACTGGGAGCACATGGTGTGGCTAAAATTGTCCCATGTCCTTCTTTGGGTGAAGCCATCTGGAGAGGCCAGAGTCTCCTCTCCCCAGCACAAGGCTTGCCAGTCTGCGGGTTTCAGTGTGAGCCGGGAGAGTGCGAGCCTGGTCTGGGGCAGTGGCCCTGGGCACTCAGTGGAGAAGCCAGAGGTGACCTTGAGGTCAGCCCCTCCTGAGGCCTCAGCGGGGGCTGCAGCAGCCTGCGACCTGCAACCTGCACCCCTGGTGGTGAGAGCAACCCAGTCTAGCCCTTGGGCCGCGTCAGGTAGCCAGGAACCTGGCAGTGTGACCTGAGCAGGGTCCGGCCGGGAGCCACAGCCAGTGGCCCCCCCAGCCACCTCCTCCCAGCTTTGCCAGCTGCCCTCCAGGAGTGGTTGCATAACCTTGGAGGACTATCTTGAACACCCTGCAGGCCATGCTATCAAATTATGCCTCCAGCACTTAAAAGTATGCTTTCTGTCCTAACGAGCCAGCAGTGGGGATGTGTGTGGTCCCCTTAAACATTATCCAAAAGGCAGCTTGCCCCCAGGAGAGGAAGCGGAGTTTCCTGTGACCCCTCAGGCCAAAAGCTTCCTCACCTGAGTGTGAGCCTAGAGGAGAGTTTAGGAAGCCACGTGGTCCAGGGAGAGGGTGGGAGTCTGCCCTCAGCGAGCACCACAGCAGCTGTGGGTCACGAGAGGCAGGCCTTTCTGCCGCAGATGAAGCAGGGGCCAGCCCAGGCCCGGGTCAGGCCCAGGGTCCGGCCTGTGCTCGCTCCCTCGTGGCGGCAGCTGCTGCCCTTCAAGGGTGAATGAGCCTGAGTCTTAGGGAAGGTATGATTTGCTTTAGCGCCTTACTAGACAAGTTTAGAGGAAGCTGTTTCTGCTGTACCCCCTCCCTGTGCTCCCCAGGCGCCCACCTCGGGCGGCTCCCATGCATGTGGGGCTCTCCGGAGGACGCGCTTCCATTCTCTGCCCCTCTGCCTCCCACAGCCATGCTGCTGCTCAGCGGAGCCCTGGTCAGTGGGCCCTACGCGCTCATCACCACCGCCGTCTCTGCCGATCTGGTGAGTAGAGCTGGGAGAGACGCTGGCCCTGTGGGCACCCCACCATTTGCCATTCATGACAAAAGTGGCCTCCATTACCGTTAGTAAAACCGTATTTGCAGAAGCACGTTTTTGGCAGCTCACCTACATCTGTGGTCTCCAGCCTTCCTGCACCTGCCCCCCTCCTCACGCTTCTAGAATCACGGGCAGGTTGGCGCGAAACTCACCTCTCAGCACAACAAAAGGCTCTTGGGCACCATCCTCATGACTCAGGCACCTTTTCACTCCAAGGGGGCAGGGGAGGGGTCCTGTCCTGGAGACCTCTGCAGAGAGAGAGGGGCCGGGCCGGGAGGAGGCGCTGGGGGATTCGGCCCTCCTCATCCAGGTACCACGCCCCGCCTTGGTCACCTTTGTGTTGGGCGTGTCCTGAAACTGCCTGAGTGTGCGTGAGCATGCAGACTTGTGTCTGCATGGGCATGGAAAGTTCTGGAAGGATCCACATCAGACCATTAGCAGTGGTCAGCCTTCATGGGATAGAGGCAGAGGAGAGACTTTCACTTATTGTTTAGACTTCAAAATACACAGGTTCTGGATGATTTTCATATTGTGTATTCTGTTCTTTATTTTATATACGTTATTACATGCATATACAAGCATTTATTTTTTTGAACGCTGGTTCATTTTTATAGTTTTAGGCTTTCAGGCATTGTTTCACCTGATCTTTTCCCCCTCCTATTGTCCTCAATTTGTGCTTTTTGCCTGTTATCTATGCAACATTTTCAAAACCGGAGCTCCTGGTGACTGCTCACCGAGGACCGGTGCCGGCCTTGGTTTCTCGGCTCTCCCCTCCTCCCTTCTTCCCCTGGCGTTTGCTATCAATCAGGTTGAATTTCAGGTCCTGCAGAGACATCTGACAGGGGTCCCAGGAAGGCCCTGCCTGTTGAGGAATCCAGCAGACATGTGGACGTGGCTGGGAAGGAAGGCGGGTGCTGGGAAGGAAGGCCGGTGCAGCTCAGGGCAGGGGCGCGTGTCACACATCTTCACACCTCACACTGGCTGCTCTGGGGCCTCAGGGAGGAGCAGGACTGTGCTGAACAAAGTTTTTTTATTTGAAGAGAATCCTAAGGTTCTTGTAACTAGAACCAAACATTTCTGATGATTTTTGACTCTTAAAAACCCTTGAAGTTTTAACTCTCCAAGGCAAACTTGGGGTGGAGTTTAAATAATGGGAAATACCTCACGCTGAATTGTTCTGCAGAGCAGTTCGAGTAAATGGTCATACAGAGGCTTAGGTTTACTTCTCATGCTATGGAGACAAGCTCCACATCTGTTTTTCCTCTCTTCTAGGGGACTCATAAAAGTCTGAAAGGCAACGCACACGCCCTGTCCACCGTGACCGCCATCATCGACGGGACCGGCTCTGTAGGTGCGCAGAGAGTTTTGGCTCTGGGATGTTTGGTGTCTTAGTGGAAATCACACTGTCACATGCTCGTGAACAGGTACCCAGGGTTCCAACTGCACCGCTAACATCGGGTGGGCCGGCTTCTTACAGTACGAGCAGATAGCAGGGGACACGGCGCAGGGGACACGGCGCAGGGGACACGGCGCAGAGATGGTCGTGCATGCCCGGGTGGCTTCAGGGAGATGCGCGTGTGACTCGCTGTGTGTGTCCAGGTTTTCACCTGAGGCAGTGGTTGGCAGACTACAGCCCGTGGGCTAACTCAGGTCCACTCATTATTTATTGCCTTCATCTCAAGAAAGGCAGAGTCTTATTACAGAAAAACTAATTGGTCCAAAAGCATACAGGGTTCTGAGTGTCACCGGCATCGTCGAAGCTCTTGAAGAGAATTCAGTGGCATATTCTGGAATTTAAAAAGGTGGCAGGATAAGCAACCCATTCCCTTAGGGAGCAGGCAGGTGGGAACTGGCAGAGCACCGGTCTCCTCGCCCATGTGCAGCCCGACAGCACGGCCATGGCCTTCCCTGAGCCCTTGTGCGGGCAGCACGCGCAGTGGCTGTGCTGGCGGGTGAAGATCAGGAGCTGCCACACCTGCCAGGTGAAGATCAGGAGGGTCCTCCCTACATGTGGGAGGTGACGGGGGGCTGCCAGGTGTGGCTCTCACAGCTAATGACCTGGGGTGCCAACCTGGTGAGTCACTTGCTGCGTGGGGTTCTCAAAGCAGTAAAGCCCAGTGTTTGCTAGACGAAGGTGGCTCGGTAAACCCAGGTCAGCCTGGCACTGGAGCCTTCCCGCGGGCTCGTGCAGAGCGCCGATGTTGCTCTTGGCTGCCCGTGGCCTTGGTGTCAGCAGGCTGGAAGCCACAGCACGTTTCTGGGTGTCCACTGCTGTCTCAGTGATGGCAGAATGCAGAGCCCTCCCACCGCATGGCCTCCCTGCTGCTCCTCCAGAGGCCAGGCTGGCCCCTGTGCGGGCTCTTTGCTCTGGCCATGCCCTGTGTCTGGGAAGGTCCCCAGAGGTGACCTCGTGCCACACTCCCTCATGCCTTGAGTCTTTGCTCAGATGTCATCCTGTCAGCGAGACCTCCTGGGACCACCTGCTGAGAACGGGGGAACCCTTCTGGCCCGGCCGCCAGGCCGCCTCTCCCTGGTCTGTTCTCTAGAGCACTCTCCCCATCCGCAGTGGGATTTAGTGCGCTCCTCTGCTTCGTCTCCTCTGTCTCCCACCACTGGAACGGAGCTCCAGGAGGATGGGATTTGCTTGGGTTTTTGAACTGAACGGGCTGCTCCCAGTTAGAATCACAGCCAGGGCCCACGCGGCTGAGTGCACAGTGAGGAGCCAGGCCGGACAGGCCCCAGGCGCCCCACCCACCCTGGCTGGCGGGAACCCCAGCTCCACGCTGCTGCTGCTGCTGTTTCTGGGGCAGGGCTGGCTTCATGTGACCCACTGCCTTGTTCTGAGAAGCAGTGGGCAGGGTGGCCGTTGCTCAGAAACCCACGCTTTGGCTTTTGCTGTTCACCAAAGTGAGACCAGGCCAGGCTTGTCTCTGCCCTTAATGTTGGTTCCTTCATTTCACTGGATCCAGAGGGCCTTTGAGTGTATTGGGTGGTGCGGTGGTCACCCTCTGATCTTCTCTCTTGGGCATCTCAGTAGGAAGTCGGGGGGACTGCAGGGCTGAGCTCGGTTCTGATTGACGTTGTGACTGCGCGGCCTTCTCTTGGCCTTGTGCCCCAGTGGCCTGCGGCCTGCGATTTGGTCTGACTGCTGTGAACCCTGTTCTAAAAGCTGACTTGGCGCTCCACTGGCAAAACCCCGACTGCTGCTTAAAGCAGAGCATCAGTGTAAAAAAAGAGGGAAATCATGAACTAGGTGAAAAACACATTTTTCTTCATATTCTTCTCAAAATGAGAGGGAAGCAGAAGTCTGTGGCTATGGGTAGCGACTCTGCATCTGTGAACAGAGGCCACTGCCCGCCACTGCCCCGAGTGGTGGAAGGGAGGCGCAGTTCTGAATGCCTTTGGCCCACTCACAAGGAAGTGGCACGCACGCCGGACCCCTCTGGCCTTCTGTTAACCTGCACCAAGTCCTGACTGTCCGCGGAGCTGCTGTGCCCACCTTGATGGCTGCTACGTTACACCAGAGGCGGGACCAGGACCCAATTCCTCCAGGCGCTACCACCCATCAGTGCCTGCTGCCTGCTCAGTAAATGGTCACCATGGAAATGGCACTCAGGCCTGCCCACCCCCACCACCACGCCTCAGTCATTATTCCTTCCATTATTCCTTCCATTATTCCTTGAGTGCTGCCCAGCGAGACAAAGTACAGGCTCCAGTGGGAAGGCCACCATGTCAGCCAAGGCCCTTCCCGAGGGAGCTGCCCGCATGCTTACTTAGTGTCACCGTCCATTCCTTGGCACTGACTCGGGTGGAGGCAAAGCATGACTAATTGTAAGTCACCCCTGCCTTCTCCCAAGTGCCATATGGTCGGTTGACACGGTGTGCGCCTGGGGCGTCTGCAGTCCTTAGAATCGCAAAGGTTGCTGTTCCTGTGCATTTCATGCAGAGCAATTAAATAGAGCGCTGCATTTTTTCAAGTTAATTTTTATGTATCAAAGTAAAACATAATGTACCTTAGAAGGCCAGACAGTCCTACAAACTTATTATGTTGTACAGTGGCGTTCCATCCCCCTCCCCAGCCCTGTCTGTCTAGAAGCAGCAATTTCAGCTGCCTCTCTCTGCTTACCTGTGTATGTTCATGTTTCTTGGTTCATCCTCTTAACATCTCAGCTGTGTCCTCTTACGGAAGAGGGGCCTGGCTCCTCCCCTCAGTTATACTGGCCACACTCCTGCCCTTCACTTTCCAGCAAGAAAGAAACTTTAATTATGCACCCTCAATAGAACATCTTGTTTTTCCCGGGTGAGTAAACACATCTCCTCTCTTCCTCTTTTCCACATTTCCGACAAAGTTCTTCCTTCCCTGCACTGTGGTCGGCGTCCTGCCCCGCCCCACCCCTTTCCTCACACCATCAGCCTCAGTCCGCCCACTGCGCAGCTTTGCCCCAGAGCACCTGTCACCACGGTGCTGGGAGTCCCCCTCTTTCTTGCCCTCAACACAGCCCTAGCAGTCTAGACCCCTGTTTACCCCTCCTGTGGTGGAAACTGTCTCTTAGTAGCTTCCGGAGTTAGGGGAGGTGCGTTCTGCAAGCTTACAAGTGCACAGTGGTGTCTGGATTCTGCTCTCGCCTGAGCAATGCAGACGTGGAAACACCTTCTCTTCAGAACCCCCGTCTTTCCAGCCCCATTATTCTGACCCAGCCCTTGCTTTCTGACCTTCTCTTTTTTCTCTTAGAAATCTCCAGGTTCCCTTCCTTACGCCTGGAGCCTTTCTTCATCCACCGTCCTGGGCACCTGGTGGCCCCTTCAGTCTGGAAACACCTGCCCTCGCTTAGGGGAATTGGGCCCCTATTCATTTGATAAGTTTTCCTACCATTTTCTGAGTTGTTTTTTCGTTCTGGAAAACAGATTAGTCAGATGTAGGTTTTTCTGGATTAATCCTTCACTTTCCTTTCTTTCCCTTCCTGCCCATCTCCCTGTTCTTTCTTACACTTTCTCAAGGAGATTCTTGACTGTATTTTCCACCTTTGTATCGAACATTTTACTTTTCCTGCCATATTTTCAGTGTTCACTGATGTTTCTCTGCCCTTTCAGGGTATCCTGTTTTCTTTCTTGTTAGATTGAATCATGTGAAATTGGTAACAGGTTTTCAGCCACACAAAAAAAATGGGAGTGTCATGAGGTTCAACGTAGTCTTCTGTTGGCTCTCTGGGGGTGCTGTGAGCTCCTGGAATGTTCCTCTCCTCCAAGCTCCCTCCTGCCAGCTTGCTTGCTTTTGCGTTGCGGTATTCCCAAGACACAGGGCAGACCTTGGTTGCCCCTTCATCACTTCCCATGGAAGAAGGGGTCCTGCATAGCGGTTTGAAGTCTTTCTGTGGGGAACAGTGTGCTGGCTGCTGGTCTCCAGGCAGAGGGACCCTGTGGAACCTGGAGGAAGAGACTCCTTCAGTGCCAGGGGAGCCTGGGTCCAGCTGCCAAATCCCTTGCCGTGCGTGGGACCATGGGTGGCTGCTTAGTGGAAGCTGGTGTCTTTCCCCAGATCCCCTGTTGCCTGTTAGGTGGGCATCCCTGTCCTGAGCTGGGCTTAGTGCCCCCACAGGTTAAGCTGCGCTCTCCTGCACGGGGGCATCAGGAGTCTCTATCAGCGAGGATGAGAAGAGAGACCTGGGATCCGAGGTGCGGCAGAGGGAATGTAGCTAACAGTTTGTGATAAAAGACTCAACCCATGCTCCCTTTTTCTCTTGCTGACCCCCTTCCCCCCCGCCCATCCTCCTCCTTCCTTGCCCTCCCCTCCCCTGTCTCGTGTGCTCCGCTGGGCCTGACTCTGCTCCAGGTGTCCCTGTGCCATCTCCCTCTGAGGGTGCTCAGTGGAGCAGGGAACACTGGAGGCTGTGTTAGCTGTCAGCCCTTCTACGTCTGTCTTCCAAAACCACGTGCCCTTCGGTGGGAGGATTTATCATTTTTAAAAGTCAGTGATGGTGCAGTTCGTGTTGCTTGAGAGGTGTGGAGATAACACATGAGTAGCCGACCATGTTTACCTGGAAGTTCTGAGAATTAAAAAAAAAAAAAACATACAATTGCTCCTGGGATTATAAATAGTAAGTGCACTTTGTGAACACTTGAAAAAACGAATGTCTAGGGCATGAAATACCCTGGTTATCTTCTCTCTCTCAGAGATTGAATGTCAGTTCATAGCTTGGTGGAAATTCTTCATGCTTTTTCCCATGCGTCTACCAAAACAGGCATCCTACATGTTATCAGGATTCATTTCAGTCCCTTTGGTAAAATGCACCAGCTGCTACAGAACACATTCTTAAACGGCAGCCCCTGGCATTTAGGGGGATACTTTATTTTGTTTTCATCATTTAAAAAACATTTTGACATAATTTCAGACTTTGAGAAAGTTGCAGAATAGTACAAAGAATTAGACATTTTAGTACATGTGGTTCATCATGCACCCCTCATGTATGTTTACACATATGCACCACATGCATAATTTTTCTGAACCACTTGAGTAAAATGCACACATGTTGCCCCTTTACGCATAACTATTCAGCATGTACTTCCTAAAAGCAAGGAATTCCATGACAGACCACAGTGCAATGGTCAGAATTAGAAAGTGAGCATTGAAGAGTATTAGTATCTACAAATCTTATTCCAATTTTACCCAGTTACATTTGTATAGCATAAGAATATCTAAGATTGTGCATTGAATTCAGATTTCCTTACAGTGTATTCAGGAACATCATGGGAGTGTTGGATGAAAAGAACGAACATTACAAGGCCAACACCATTTTTAGGATGGTTCTGGGAAGAGGCTGTGCCAGCTTTGCCTTCTCAGTAGTAAGGCGTACCGTGGAGTATCCTTATCTGAATGCTTGGACCAGAAGTGGTTACGTCTTTTATTTTTTCAGATTGTGGAATATTGCATTATACTAGTTAAGCATCTCAAATCCCAATTCTGAAATGCCCCAGTGAGCATTTCCTTTGAGTGTCAGCACTCAAAAAGTTAAGATTCTGGAGCATTTGGGATTCAGATTTTCAGATTTGGAAAGCTCAACCTATACTAGACCTTTTACCTGCTCCCAGTCTGATAGGCCGGATGAGGTAGTGTAGTTCCGTATGTGTTCCTTTCATTGTGAGTGAGGTGTTGAGCCCCATTCTGTGTGACTGCTGGTCATGTGCTGGGATTTTCTCTAAACAGCACCATGTGTGTCCATTTGCCCGATTTCAGGAGCAGCCCTGGGCCCCCTGCTGGCTGGGCTCCTCTCTCCGTCCGGCTGGAGCAATGTGTTTTACATGCTGATGTTTGCAGATGCCTGTGCCTTACTGGTAAGTCGGCCTATTTTAGTCCAATCCACTTGAATGCGGATCTCTGTGGTTGTGGCCAAACACTGGTGGAACTTTCTCCCGTGCATTCCTGAGTTATCAGACAGATTTGGGTCTTCCCATCTTTTCTAAATATGCATAGTCTAAAGCCCCTTCTCTTCTGGTTAGAAAAATCAGAAACAGAAGCAGGACAGTCTGTGGTCTGCAGTCTTGGTTGGGATGGTACAGAGGCAAGAGCATGGAGCTCCATGGCTCTGGGATCCTGCCCGTCATTGTCACTTGTGTGCCTTGGGCGGGTTTCGTAACCTCTGCTCCACAGCTTTAAATGGGCATGATAATGGCGCCCAGTGACAAGACTGCTGTGGGAATTAAAGCAGATATATACAGAGCCGGCCTCCCACTGGTCATCAGTGTCCTGTGTCCCTCCTGCAGGCCATGCTTGTCAGATGGCGGGGCAGCCCCAACTTCTTTCACCTGAAGGGATGGGAGAGAATAAAGGGGCAAAGAGGCTGTCAATGCAGACACACGAAGTCGCCTTCTGGCTTCTGTCCCCTTTTCTCTGGCTGCTGCTTCTGTGCCCTCCTGTGTTGAGAAAGCTGAGGTTTCCTCTGGGTAGGGAAGACCAGTGATTGATGTCACAGTCACACAGATGTGCAACTTGTGAGGGGCACATACACTTATCTTTACAAGTCACCTGGCCACAAAGGTCCCAGACCACAGTCATGCCTTCCTCTTGCTTCACCAGACAAACCTTAGGCTGATCCCAATAAAAATGAGTTGAGAATTTTAGAAATATCAACTCACTCAAACTAAATGAAGTCTTATATCTTAATTCCAGGAAATTATAAAACTCAACTTCCCCACCACATACAAAATCAAATACCAACTCTCAACCTATGAATTTACTAGGTTTAAATGGCTGTTCTTTGGATCATCTGTGGGTTTTCTTAATGCCTAAACATTCTAGTGAAGCCTCCAGATGTATTTCCACTAAGTAGCAGTAAAATTCCTGTCATTACAACTGTTCAGAGAATCTGAAATATCTTCTTCAGAAATATTCAGTAATATATATTGAAAATTGTTTTGATGCATAGCCAAACTCATAAGAAAGTAAAGGAATTCCCCAGGAGCCAGAATTGTAAAGGCAATATAAATACACAAGCTCAGGAGTCAAGGGGTTGGGGTGGTTGTGCCCACACTGGGTAAGAGACAAGGTGTTAGGCTGGCACAAGATGAGGATTTGGAACTGGAGACTTCCTCATAGAGCCAGGACCCTTGAAGAGCCATGCTTGCAGTGAAAGAGTGTATTAGATGATATCTGCACACTGGCACAGGAAGACAATGGGAATATCTGCCCATCTTAGCCAGATTAAGGGAAAAAATATCCCTTGAAAATTTTTAGCCATAGACCTCCCCACAGTCAGCTTTAATCTTTGAGCTCATATAAATATGTTTAAAATGAACAAAGTTGGTCCTTAGGCAGTGATAATGCAGAAGCAAATAGGGACAAATCTCAACCCTGCAGCACAGGATTTCTGTAGCTAACCTACTTAGATTTCTTCACCCTACTAAAGATGAGTTCACAATACAAAATTATGAAACATAAGCAATCCACTTTGAATGACAGTAACAGACATAAAAAATGGTGGAATTGGACTCCCCCAAAACTGCAGGTAAAAGAGTTATATAAACTAAAAATAAATATATGCAGTGTTACTAATGACGTAAAGAAAAGGAACTGACCTCATGAAAGAAAGAACAAGACACTATCGAAAAGACAGAGCAGGCTTCAAAAACAACCAAACAGGAGTTATAGAAATGAAAAATGTGATCTTTAGCCTGAAAAAAAAAAAAACTCAATGGATGGGTTAGAAAAGTAAATTAGATACAGCTGAAGAGATTACTGAAATGAAATATAGACATGAAGAAATTATCCAGAATTCAGCACAAAAAGAGAGATGGAAAATATTAAAGAGAAATGAAATATAAAATGGAGGACCAAATGAGATGGCCTAATATTATCTGAAAGTAATTCCAGAGGAAGATAATAGACTGGGTTTGAAGCAATATTTTAAGAGAAAATAGCTGAGAATTTTCCAGATACATGAAAGACAAACATTCTTAGATTCAGGAATCAAACGACTTAGAATTCTGTACCTAGATAAACTTGCATGCAAGAGTAAGGGTGAAGTGAAAACATTTTTAACCAAAGATGCTCCCAGCAAAAATTGCTAAACAGTGTATTTAAAGAAGGAAGATAGATCCAGAAGGAAAGTCTGAGATGCAAGGAGAAATGCAAGCAAAAAAGCAATATTCCTAAGGATGAATCTAAGTATTGACCATATAAAATAGGGGCCAGCTAACTGTGGCTTATTTTTGTATGATCCTCCAGCTGGGAATGGTTTATATTTTTAAAGATTTCTTTAAAAAAATCAACAAAAGAATGCGCAACAGAGACCATATGGCTGCAAAGCCTGAAATATTTACTATATAGACCTTTACAGAAGAAGCTTTCTGACTCTTAGTTTAAAACAACAGCAATGACGACTAATTTGGGCAATATAAAAAAGAACTGAAATACTGAAAATGTAAAGTACAAGCAGGACAATCAGAGTTCCAGCACACCACAGTTCTTACATTGTCAAGTCAATAGCAATAGAATGTGTAACCTTCCAGGCAATACAGGATGAAGATTTATCCAAGAGAACCTAGGGTCGGGGGAAGCATAGGAAAAGCAGGGTAAATACAGAAATACATAGCGACATGGATGAAAACGATCCCAGCATACCAGCAACACAGTAACTATAAATGGACTAAACTCATCAGTTAGAAGCAGAGACTGTCAAGTTGCTTTTAAAAATACAGGCACTGGTTATTTACAAGAAACACACCTGCTACACTGGAATTCCGAAAAGACGAAAGTGAAAGAATGGGAAAGTACACAACAGGTAATAATAACCAGAGGAGGGTGGATTTGTTGCACTGGAAGAAAGAGACCTAAAGCAGAAGCACTTGGGAGATGGGGTCTTGTTGTAGTGGAGAAGAAACTGAACCAGGATGTGCAGTAGGCCGGTGAGCTCGAGTTGAGCCTTTCAAACCTAAGAAATAGACATACCTTTTTCTCTTCCTGATCAACATGCTTTGTGGTATCTTTTCCCAAAATAGACAAGTGTTTCCTCCCAAGTCTGAGGCTGAGAACCTCCATGATCTGAGCAGGTGTCCTGGGGGCCAGAGGACACCATGCTTCCTGCCTCACCGTGCACACTGATGGCCAGCTCCAGGGCCTGCAGGACTGCCTGGGCACACAGCCAAAGTCCTTAGGTCTCCAGTACGCACTGGGCTCCTGAAGTTGGCAGGGCCCCTCCTTGTTGGTCATTCTTGCATGTGTGAGCCAAGCACACGGGCATGTTTTGAAATCGGATCTCTGTTCTTCAGAGCTGTCACTATTTACAGTTCGTGCCATACCTACAGATAACACTTGCTACTACATTCTTCATCTTTTTTTCTCTGTCTTAATGATCGGCTTTTCATAATCATAGGTCTCTTCGGGCTAGCACTTTTCACACATCACACTTGGTAGGATATAGATGTGGGTAAGGTACCAGCTCAAACACAACAAGCCTGTGCCAGTAATTGCAGCTAGCGGTTCAGATACACACAGATGGATTTATTTAACAATAACCTTGCTCTTGCCACCAGCACTATTGTTGGTACCTGCCGTGTTCCCACAACCTTTACCGACTAATTATCGCAAACACCTTTCATGTACCAAGCAGAGCAGCTGGATGCATCTTATCTGTAGAAGGGGCTCCTGTTCTCTCCAGCTTGAACTCACCTCATACAAGGGACTTCTAAGTTGCTACTCAAACCATAAGCATCTAAGAAAAGAGAAGAGTTTCTGCCTTCTCGAGCTGTGGCCTGAGGCTTGGGGGTGGGGCCGTGGTTTGGTTTTTAAGCAGCCCCTCGAGACCGTCCTCCAGCACCCCTTCCCCGCCTCCCTGGCCCAGTGATCCACCCTGGGTCTGAAGGCATCTGTGGCTCTCTAAGAGTGAGGGGC